GATATTGATGCATCTTCATGACTCTTGAAAATACTTCATTGTGTTTCAAATTCTATGATATGATTGATAAAATTTTCTTAAAATTCTAGAGCTAATTTGATAGAAGATTTTTTATTCCACATCATAAACAACTCTAGAGTCAAACAAGGTGGGAAAAAAAGTAAAAAGTATATTTTTACAAGACAAAATAGAAAAATTGAAAAAAATATAGAGTGCAACTTAACTATTGGAGGGTAATTTTTAACATTTTGTACACTTTAAAATCACAAAAAATGAGGAAAAATTAGTCACACTTTAGGTTCTTAGGTTATAAGTTATTCCATGAGTTTTCAAGGAACTCATTTATACAACATCTACTTGGTCAATGCTCACATCAAAGTGGACAGCTTTTTCTAGTTGATTTGTAAAGTAGTATGGTGTCCAAGCTTCAACAATCCAAATGCCCACTTGATTAAGGAAGCATTTTTTCTAGTTGTGCGAACCATGCACAAATTAATTATTTCACATGTTTATTTGTGAAGACAATCAAGGAGAATATTGGTAACAAAGAAAAGACTAGTTGATTGTGAAGGAGATAGACATTGTGAAATATATTGTGTAATGAGTTTTGTTGATCATGTGAATTTTAAGATGTCTTTTAAGAGATAATAGTACCCTCTAATTAGTGTATGTAATAAGTTAAGGTTGAACCATTTGAGAAGATAGTCTTTTCTATTGGCTATTATTGAATAAGTTGACTAAGTGTTGACCCTCTGAACATAATACAAATAAACTTATTAAAATCGTATCTAAAATGTGTAAAAATTATAAACAGCTAACTCATTCCCCCTTCTCTCTCTCTTTACATATGATGTATATTTCAAACATTTGTATTTATATCTAGCACCCTCACTTCTCATTTGCATGGTGCCCTCCAAGTCTCCAAGTGGGTTCCCCCACTATGGGTACGATATACCTTACTCTCACACATTGAAAGATGAATTATAAATGTCATTTTAAAAAATCAATAATGAGATAATTCAAACATTTTTAAATAAAAGATCTTACAATTTTTGAAAAATATGCTTTATTAGTGTAATTCTAAGATTAAGTAACATAACTAATTGTTGTTTAATTATGATATAGTATTGAATACGTATTAGTTTATTGTATTTTACTCAGCATTACCATTAATAAAAATTTATCCTTTTAAGATTAACAATTAGAAATATACATGCTCCCTAGAAATAAGAGGATGCTACTACCTTTTAAACACACCATTTAATTAATCATTAATTAATTAATATTTTAATAATAATGAATAGAGTAATTCATAAATACCTAACAGGCCAAGTCAAAATACAAGATATTTACCATTCATTCTACTACTTTGTGAGAGTTTTAACTAAAAAATCCTAAATTAATACAAAATGACACTTTTTAAAAAAATCATCATATTATAATAATATAGCAAGTTCTATTTGTCATAAACCCTAGGAATCTTTGCTCTCTAATTAAGATTTCTTCTCCCTCTTCGTCCATTAGTTTTGTTTCCATCCATCTCGCTCATGAATGCCAAAGTGGCCTTGTCTATCGAACGTCATGGCCAGTACTAGCCATCTTATTATAATCAGAGGTTGGAAGAGTGGACGGAGAAGAAAAAAACCATGAATTTTCCCTCCAATCAAGGTGGTGATGATGTTAGGCAATTAATATGGGTTCTCTAGTTTATTCGCCAAGGGAGAGCTCCTCCCCACCTGATAGTAACAACTCTATATGAAGTCTTCTAAATGTGATGTGATTGCTTATGATTTTCAAGGGCTTTTAGGTGTGCAGGCATCTTTCTTCAAAATTTTCGTCAGAGCAGTAAGATCATCTGCACACGCACGCATCCCACCGCCCGCATCTGTTTATATAAAGAACGATACCTACTTATCCATTTATCCATTGATATATCTTGATGTATATATAAGGCTCACCAACTTATCCAATTATCCGTTTACGTTAATGTGTATACATATGATTACATCATACGAGCGTGATGATTATTCGTAGATGATTAATATTTTTTCCCTTTTTTTCCAAGAAAAATACCTCTCTCGTCCGTTTTCTAGCTTTTTAAGTTTTATTTTTTAATCAAGTTGTTGCAGGATGATAAGTTGCAGCTAAAGATTGAGCTACGTGTGTTCAACATGGATGAGGATCCAAGCGCCAGGCAGCCCGCCAGAAGGCGCCGGCGGGATCTGCCGGTGCGAGGGGAAGCGAGGGGAAGAAGGAGACGATGGGGCGGCGGCGGGAGACTGCGGCTTCCATCGGCTTTCACTTTACCTTAGCCTTCTCAAACTCCAATCCCTCTTTCTCTTTCGCCTGTCGTCTTCACAGTCGGCGGTGGTGGCGACGGCGCCGCCTCTCTAGCAAGTACGCATCCGGACCCGGGTTCCCGGTTAAAGTGGCGTGAAGGCCGCCGATGTGGACCTGGAGGACGGTACCTGACGATAACTTGTAGGGCCCCCCCTCCTCCCCATTACAACGCGGGCGCCGAGTCCGCGTCATAATTTGCGTGTGTGTATGTGAGAGAGAGAGAGAGAGAGCTTTATACGATGGTAAATGTACAATTTTATTGGTCAACGGAAAGTTACGTTTAGATCCAAACGTGGTCAAAGCAATGCCCACGCACGCCGTGACGAGAGAAGGAGGCTTTCCGTCGTAAAAGCATAAGGCAACTCTAACGCAGAGAGAACTACCATCTGGGATTCCCTCCCCTTAGCTTCCCCACCATGCCCAACTCCTCTTTGAACCATCACATCAGATCATGGCTTCTCTCATCGTGGGTCCGTCATGTCCCTAGCGAGAGAGTGAAAGTGCCCCTGAACGAAACTTTCCAAACGGAGCGCAGATGCTCACGCCTAACAATTTCCAAAGCACGAAAGGAAAGGCACGAGATTTGGTTAAAAGTTTTTTGCCCACGAGAGTAGATTAAAAATCACATTTTTATCTTCATTCGCCAAGTTTTTTGCACTGAAATCGAACCTCTACCTTCAATAATAATAATAATAATAATAATAATAACAGTGGGATTCTAGCTAGCAATGAGCTTCATAAAAATATAATTTTTTTAATGACCATACTCTGGAAAATATGGAATCGTAATTGGAAATTTCCGAGGCCACGCCAAATGGCAAAAGGATTTCTCTTGGGATCCCATCACTCCTTGTCTCCCCTCGTCTCCCTACCACTAGAGAGGAGCCGTTGGGGCCTGGGTTTCCGTGGGGCCGACTCCAATGGTGGGCACCCACCAAGAAAGTCAACGACCTTTTAATGGACGACAAGGTGGAGAGAAAGACACCGCTTGGAAGTGGGCCCCCTTCCCTCGGGAAGCTTACCTTCCACGATGGCATATCAAAGAAGGCCGCTCAACCCCTCACACTTGTCTGATTGTCTAAGGACTGTGCTGGGTCCCACCTTGTCTGGTCCAGCTAGGATCTGGTTGACTTTTTCAAGACGTGAACATGACCCACGCAGGAGAGAATTCTTCAGAAATTGGGTTCCGAGAAAGATCCATATGGAGCCCCAGTGCAGCTGTACGATCTCTCTATACACACCTGATGGGAGACGTAGAGACAGAAAGGAGGAGGATGGGTAGAGAGAGAGGGAGAGAGAGAGAGTCGAGTTATTACGAAAAATATGGGTTACCCTAAATTCTTCCGGAATTGTTGAAGAACATGAGGCCGAGTCATTGGCGTTCACGAGGTTCTAACAATCCATACTGAACTGCGTGGATTGGCATTTTTCTATTTCGAGTATTTCTTTTAATCTCGTCTACAATTAGGAAGTTCTTATGACGTGAGGTGAGCCCTTGTGTTCTCCACATCACACTGGGCACTGTCCATGTGCCCCCCCACCTCCTCCTCCTCTATTTATTATTATTTATCTTATATTAAAGCCTAGCCTATTGAGATTGAGATGGGTCCCACCTCTTATTATTTATCTTATATCACCATATTATTATTACTAGTAGTATTACTATTCAATCCACCTAATGTCCTACGTTATATCTCACTGTACTTTTCTCTCTCTCCACAAGGCTGAAGAAAGACGGATAACATCAAGGTTGACTTATTTTGGTGATTTTGGGTGGGTCTTCTTCTCTATTTAACGGAATATAATTTCCTAAAAAACGTAATACCAAAACGTCTGAAAAGGTTTTCATTTCTGAAAAAGGAAGCCCTTTGACTTTGACAACGAACGATTCGATGTAGAAATCTCTCCTCCCCTTTGATTGCCCTCTTTATGGCCCCACGTAATAAAAAAATAATATATATATTTTAAAATTAAGGTTTCTCTCGTAGTCTGATTCCGTCCGAATTTCTTCAACCCTTGTCGGGGATAATTCGCGTGCGGTCTAGGATTTTCATTTATTTAAAATGGAGAGATTAAACGTGTTTGACCTTTTGAACTTAGGCCGTCCAATTACAACCGTCGGATCTGATTTGGGGGCGTCGGAATGCGGACAAAGGAGCTGACCGTCTCTCCACTTGCCCTCTGGCCGACCGGCGCACGCAGAGCCAGCCTTGCCTTCGGTGGGGGAGGGCGCCGACGCCTGATGGCACCGGGTAAGGTATGTGCCATGCGGGTACAGTTGAAGACGGTGGTGGAGGCAGATGTCAACTGTTCCCGGACAGGAGGGAATGGCCGCGATCATCATTATGGGCACTGATCGGAAGGGGCCTACGTCGTTTGATCGGACGCTTGAGATGAAGTAGATTCGACAACGGAGGCCCACCTTCCCGGGCCTATAAGTACCCCTGGCAGCGACATGTAACTCTACACCGCCGGCGAGTATTTTTCTCTCTCTCTCTCTCTCTCGCTCTCGCTCTCTCTTAATCTCTCCTAGTCGCCGCCGTCTCCTCCGGTGGACGGAGGATCTAAGTAAGACGCCGGCGACGAGGAGCTCTGCTTGGGCGGTGCTGTCGAGGCGGAGCGCCGACTCTGCTGATTAGCCGACGGTGAAAGTTTGGATGATGGGGTTTTCGTTGACCCCGATGAAGACGTCGACCAGGCTTTTGTGGAGTTCCAGTTTCTTCCGCCACAAGGTCCACATCTGACGGCATCAGCGGAGAATCCTCAGAGAGCAGGGAAAGCGAAGGAGACTCCCCTCGGGAAACCTAGTCGCAGAGAGAGCGGTAGAGGTAGCAGCGGCGGTGGTGGCTTCATCTGCTTGGAGCAATGAAGAGGAAGATTGGATTGGATGGATCTGCTTCAGAGGTTTGTACTGAGATCTTGAAGGATTCCCGTCGTATGATCTTCGATTACACGTCGTCCTCGTCCTCGTCCACCAGCCCCGGCAACATCCTCATCCTCGGCGGCGGGAGCCAGGGTGGCTTTGGAGGTGACTGACAGAATGCTTTCAGATCTCAAGAGCATCTCTGTTCTCTCAATTTCTTCTTATTATTTCTGTTCATCATTCACTTAACTATCGTTTGGAAGGATTATCGCTGATTCCAGATCTGTAGATAGTTTTTTTCTCAAAGTCGTGTTCATCTCCACCAGTTAGGAGGATAATCAATGAGTGTGATCCGTATTTTCCTTTCTTCATGATCACCTGGAGTGAAGGCAGAGGAGGGACATCGGCGCTTCTCATGGAGGAAGGCCGCTTCGGCTCCGCCGCCGCAGTGGCGAAGTGGTCGAGCAACTACGATCCGTTCATCACGGACGAGGACTATTACTACTACGACGACAAGATGCTGCCGGAGAAGAAGCGTCGCCTCACCCCTCAGCAGGTTGACCTCCCTCCTCTAATTCCGATCCACACCCTCTAGATGAATCTCCGCCTTCCAGAGAATTTTAGGGCAGAGGCTACATATCACTGATTCTCACGCGCAGTGAATAATAGAACAGTGTCTTGAACTTGTGATTGACTTTTGACGATTGACGGCACGATCCGTAGGTGCAAATGCTGGAGATGAGCTTCGAAGCCGAGAACAAGCTGGAGCCGGAGAAGAAGAGTGAGCTGGCGAAGAAGCTGGGGCTTCAGCCCCGGCAGGTGGCAATCTGGTTCCAGAACCGCCGAGCCCGGTACAAGACCAAGCAGCTGGAGCGGGACTTCGACCGCCTCAAGTCCTCCTACGATTCCCTCCTCGCCGACCACGACTCCCTCCTGAATGACAACCTCCTCCTCCGGTCACAGGTAAATAGATGATCTCCACAGTTCCTCGTCGCCTGGCCTAAAGTAAATCTGCCCTGAAAATATTGGGTATTCGAAAGTGACTTAGAACTCGATGATCATTTCATTAAACCCGGAAAATCTTGATAGAAGAGGGTGTGGGTGATCTGCCCCTGCCATGATTGCAAAATCCTTGGATTTTACACCGCCGGCGAGCGAGGGGAGAGGATAAGGTCGACGGTGGTAACTGGGAAAGTGACGGCGACCGGTAACTTCCACTGCGGAAGCTATCTTCCTCTCGTCCTCTTCTCTACAGACTGTAAAAACGGCAGCGGTGGGATGGTTGGTCTTCTCTGACGATTATTCTTTCTCTCAGATTCTCTCCCTAACGGAGAAGCTCCAGGCCAAGGGCTCGCCGACGGCGGAGACGGTGGCGGGGAGCAACTCTGACGGAGAGCCCAAGCCAGTGGTGGCCGAACCCGCGAAGGCGGAGGACCAGCTGAGCACGGGGACCGTGGTGGACCAGGAGGGCCCCCATCATCTGGTGGACTCCGGCGACTCCGAGCTCCCCGAGGACGCCGGCAGCTACGACGGCGGCTGCGGCGTCGTCCAGTCGGAGATGGAAGAAGGTAGCGACGTCGAAGGCAGCAGAGTCTTTTACTTCTCCGGTGGCGTGCCGGAGGACCAGGAGCTGCTCTGGAACACGATGCACTGCTGGGAATGGACCTAAAAACCAGGAGGCCTTCCCCACCTGCACCATTCTTCGCCGCCATGCAGCCACCGCTGCAGCTGCTACTTCCATTACCGCCGCGCCTACTGTCTATCAATCTATCAGTGTTATTATATTTATGTAAGCTAGTGAGTCTTATGCCGCATTTAAGAGAGTTTCAGTGGACGCCCCCCACCATCACCTGAAGCTGCAGTCATTGCCTTTCTTTCTCGTTTTTCTTGGCCACGCTCGAGGCGTTGATGTATGAAGAACGGTGCATGCATCAACTGATGCGGCCGAAGCCGTGTTCCTGTGTTAACTTGTCTGCGAGTGCTTTCTGTGGTCCTGTAGAGATAGAGATAGATATAGATAGATAGAGAGAGAGAGAGAGAGAGAGAGATGCTCGACCTGCTCTCTCCATCAGCTTGTCTTTCGGATGGGTGGTGGACGTGGGACTATGATGCTACCCCATCCCGTGGGAGTGAACGGTGAGCGTGGGCTGGTAGGTGGCTTCTTCGTCGGAGTGGTGGCCACTTTGACCCGATGTGAGAGAGATGACAGTCGGGCATATCCGTCGGCTAGATCTTTCCCAGCTCTCTCTCTCTCTCTCTCTCTCTCTCTCTCTCTCTCTCTCTCTCTCTCTCTCTGTGCTGATGATGATAACACTCCCAACGCTCTTCACAAGATCAGGGGGATAACGATGATTTATTTCTACATGGCTATCATCATGAGGACACTCTTTACAATCCCTCTCCCTCTCTACTTTTACTAGGACCAATTTACTGTACAAGTTTACCGATTGAAAACCTGGAAATTATTTTCTCTCTCCAGTTCTTTATGACTTACTTCCAAGAACACAGGGCACAATCTTATCCCCCACATTCTCAGAAATAACAGCGAGCTAAGTCAGGTATTATACGAGAAAACTGGCCAAGAAGCACAGAGCACATCCTTAACGTGATATCAAGGCACCATGTGCCATTCTTTCTACATGGTAATTAATATTCCCAAAAGTCATCACACGCACAAAATTGCATACTGGAGCAATCTAATTCTCCAGTTCAGTCTTCAATGTGAGAACAGATTTCGCGAGGTAGTGATGTTGCTGGGTGATCGCTCAGGAACTCGCTCAGATTAGACTTTCTTCGTTAAACTTTAAATCAGACAATGGCCGCTTTGTTCTACGCACCCAACTCTCCTGGAAAAGCAACACGAGATAGATAAACATGTACAAAGAATGATATACATTCCATTGAATTGCATCGGATGAGTCCCCCTTTTACACTGTTTCCCGTATCTATATCTTGATGTGGATCCTTCAACGCAACATTGGCACCTTCTCCTTTGTGTACAAGTCCCTCCTCCCCAAGGTCCTCTCTCTCTCTCTTTCTCTCTCCAGAGGGGAAGCTCCAAAACTGGGAAGCATCTTCAAACGCAGGGGGAACTCTGACAGACGGGGCAGCCGAAAAACACGGACGCACCTCCAGACAAATCCTCTAGCTCTTAGTCCAGACTCCATTTTTGGTTAGTGTGTTAGCCGTGATCATGTAATCATATATGTACACAGCGGCGTCGGACCCACTTCGGTCTTCTCCAGCTCCACCACAGAGGGCTGCAAAAGAGATCCAATCTAGGATTTGCTACGCTCCTCCATCCATGTCCTTCTTCTTCCTCCCTGCCCTGCTCAGAGTCGCCTTCACACTCTCCGCCATGCCGGGGTCTGATGCCGTCTTTGCATAAACAATGGACGCATCCAAGGCATAGATGCGGAGGGCGAGAGAGGAGATGGTGACGGTCTTTGCCGCAGTAGTGAGCGAGGACCAGTACCACCACCCGCTCTTCAAGTAATCAGTCTTGATCATCCCCTCCAGCAGTATAGTAGCCTGAACCATCTGCCCATGAGGAACATGGAAAAAAAGGGGGAGGCTCAGCCTAGGGATGTTTCATTCATGCTTTTACTTAACTAGAGAAGATGGGCACTTCTTCAGTGATGATTATGGAAATCAGGGGAGATCAAGCTATATGTGCATATGAATACATCTTTTTTTTCCTTTTTTGGCACAATACAAGTTCATTAACTTAAGAAAGGAATTCGAAAGACAGAAGAGGCATTCACGAACGTCTCTACTCATCTAAAAAAATGACGAACAATTTGAGAAGAGGATTAAATTAATCCTGAACATTATGTCTCGAACTGTGTACCAGGAGCGCCTCAAGAACACAGTACTTATGCAAACGGCAACCGTGATGATGGGCATGAAGAACAAATCAAGTGAATTGCATAGAAAAATGGACAATCTATAGATAGGCTCAGCTCAGCTCACCTGATAAATCGATTCTGCTGATTTAACAAGAGAACGCCATGCACGTCTTTTCCCTGAGAGAGCCTGCAATGGTCTTAGAGCCTCCTCTGGTAAGGTAGCGTCCATGTCAAGCAAGTTTATTTTGAGCTGCTTCAGGATCTGAGAAACCTTTCCTCCAAGAGGTCTCAATGATGACTCTGGAACAATACAGGTGTGATTGATGCCCGGCACTGATACATTATCTTTGCAAGAGCCGTTTAGCGTATTGTTCAAACGCGCTGGCATGCTCGATATTTCCATTATCTCCATATAATCAGCATCACCTGGCGTCTTTCTGCATTGCTCAAGTGTGTCGTCACTTTCGATGCGCGCATCTCCTTCTGCCATTCCTTCTGCGGAGATCAGCACCACATCGGATCCCTCGTTTTTAACCAGCACAAGAGAAGGATCAAGAAAAGATTGAGGGTCGGGTTGGATGAAGGAAGGAATTCCATTTGATCCAATAAGCCCTATCTCTTGCACCAAATCCTTGATGGCACCTTTGGGGATAAACCTACGACTGATCTCCTTGAAGTCATGTGGGCATAATTGATTCTGAAAATGAGGCAACCTAGGGGTGATGTCCACAGCACTCCTTGATTCCCCAATCAAATCTGTTTCGTCGAGAGATTCTTTCTGATAGTTACTGTCTGATCGTCCCATTTTACCTTTCACAGAGTCGCCGGACTCCTTGTTCTCACCCGGAGGCACACGGTTGGCGCACCTTTCATCGGTGTGCTTCTCAAGTTCTAATCGAGTACCAAATGTCTGGTGGCACTGGAGGCAGTGATGTCTGGAAGGCCAGATCGGTTCCAAGCACTCACATCTGCGCATTCTCTCTTCAAAGTTCTTACACTTTCTTGCACGCTTCCTTGAACCATCATTGCTTTCGGGCTCCAGACAAGGGCCGTACTTACTTTCAAGTAAAATCGCAGCCTTAGTAAGCAACTGAGGTGGAGCCACCCTGTCCATGCCAGATGGCCTTGATATAACTTGAGTATCACTAGAAACATGGTGACTGCCGAGTCTCTGCAACTGCACGATGCCTTCCTTTAATTCTCTCTCTCTGGGATCACTCTCCCTCAAAGAGCAAACAAGTTCATGGATTTCCTGGTCAGACTCATATAAGACCAAACGATATGAATTCCTAGTATCATCTTTTGGCCCAGAATTGGATGATCTCGAAGCACATGTACGCACATTGCAAGCATCCTTCTTTGACGCATCACCTGCACTGCCAATAAAGGGGCCTCCATAGTCTCCATTTTGTTGGGCTGACGTGTTTCCATCAACTAGTAGCCAAGGGCGCTTACAAGGTCTAACAATGGACCAATACATTCGACCAAAAGAATCCCTGCCCAAGAAGTCCCTGCGTAAAGTTGACATCAGAAGCTGTGATTCTAAAACAGCAAAGGATTCCTCCAAACGTAAGATATCATTTTTTAGGGACTTTAGCTTAGCTGTACAAGTTTGCGACTCTGTGGCATTGGCGTAAACATTGATGGAAGACAGCGAGATCTTGTCATCAGAAGTCGTCAAGTCTACCATGGATTCAGGGATTGCAGGGTCTGTTGATTTAACAGGCACATTCTCTTCGATATTGATGTTCCTGGGGCCAGATTCTGTGATTGGTAATAGATTCTCATCATTTTCTACATGTATGACAGAGTTTATGACTGAAACATTAGCAGTAACTTCTTGGACACCCAAATGTCCCTTGTGTGTTTTATCATCACTAATTTCACTTTGGGAAACTAATCTGCTAGATTTGTCAGCCACTCTGCACCCGTCATCTCCGTCAGCATCCAGAATTAACGCATGATTTTCGCCAGCGAACATCTTTTTCGGGACGAGACCATCACTATTTCGCTCATCACAAGATACCTTAGGATCTGAAAATTCATTTAAGCTACTTGATCGAGTACCGTTAGCATTAGAATGTTTATCAAACACGAATCTCTTACAGAAGAGCTCATTGACTTGCTTATTCATATCAATCTGTCCATTCTCTTCGGTAACGAATATCTGACAATCAGACCTGTTACTAAAATGATGCTCCTGCCCGATTAATTTACCATCAGTTGCAATAACATTAGCTGTCCCTTCATCCCGTAAGGATTCACTTGTTCCATTGACCTTTCCTGAAATCTCCTTTGACATTCTGATCAACAAATCTTCCTTAAATTTCAAATTTCTCCATTCCACTACGATCAAGCGGATTTTCTGCTGCAGCTCATTTGATGTATCCACACTCTGCTCAAGCTGTTCACGTATAAGTGCGGAACTCAGCACCTCATCACACAGAAATTTCAGCAAGAATGTCCTCTGCAGACAACATGAAATCAGAAACAATGCCCTTAGATGCCATAGGAATATAATTTCCGAGAAAGAGGAAATGACTTTAGAAAACCACGAGAAAAAGTGATTCCAAAATTAAAATTTGATAAATATGTAAATATAAACATAATACTCAATCGTTTGTGCTTCCCGTGGAATAGACACGTATAGGCGATGCAACAAGGTTATCCCAATCACCCAAAAAGTTTCATTCATCAAACGTTTCTCCAAGGCTGGTAGATTCAATAAGGTTATCCCAATCACCCAAAAAAAATTATCTGTCAAGAGTTTCTCCAAAGGTTTTCAGTATTTATATGAGAAACAACTACAAAAAGCCAAAGAATTGAGTTTGGAATACAGTTTGGTTTTCGATGGCCATATCTAGCCACTAAAATTGTTTTTCACGATGCTACCTTAATGTTTACGATGGCACCTTTCCACTGAAATTTTATCACTAGGGCAGTCAGTAAGACAATCGAATAGAGTATTACCCTTTCATCTTAAGTGAAATTTGATAATGGCGGCAAAGAAGCAAAAACAGCTAAAATTACATGCAAACCGTCATAATTCATACATAAAAATAAAGTACGTCATTTAACATGGGAGAACTTCGCCCATGGAGTACTTAGTCTTTCATTTCGATATGAGCTCAGGATTTTTTCATCACAAAAAACAGTAATCTTCCTATCCACTAGTGCATTAAATATGCAAAAGCCGAGAGAATCTTTATATATACTAAAGGAAAAAAAGACTGAACATAAACAAAACCTGCTTCTTGCATTCTCTTGCTCAATGATTGGTAAAATGATGAATACGATAAACCAGAAAATACTGTAGTACAGCCCAATCAATCCTCCACCTGATTGTTGTGTAACCACCCTCCAACACAACTCTATTATCCCCAAGTTCTATGTTTTCTATTCAGATAGACGAGAATGACTCATGGGAATACTGCCTTACAACGTGACTTAGATTTCCTCTAGTCTTCTCCAATCCAAATTGATCCACATTCTACCTCCTTAATCAAACGCATTCATCACGGCCTGGAGCAGTACAAAAGGCATTTTGGAGAATAATTTGGATTGCAAAACATTGGGAGAAAAAACTGCAGGTAAAACAACGATTCAAGAATATGCATTCTTATACCCAAGGATCATTGATCATACTTTTCACCACTGCTAGTAAAGTAAAAAACAAAACTCTCACATTTGCACAATTTTTTGCCCACTAAGAATCATACATCTGTTCTCACTAGGTAATACTTTCAAAAGAGCAATATAAAATATGACAGTTCTGACACATAAGGAATGGGAACTTGACATTTTCAGTTAAAAAGAAAGTCAAAAAAAAAATGTCTACCTTGCATTGCATGGAATTGTAATATACGTCAAATAAAGGCACGACCATAAAGAAAAACCTCAGATTCCGAGCATTGACAATGGTAAAGAAATCACCTTAAAAAAGGAAACGCAGAAATATTCCCGAGAATTTGAAAAGTCACAACATAAAGCATAGGTACCAATCTGCAGCATACCACAAAATGTAAAAATGTGAGCGTAAACAAACCTCTTCAATGCTTAGCTCCCAATACTCTCTTTTTTCCATAGAAGTCACTAGCTGATTGAGAACCTCATGAAACATACTACTGTATTCTCCCAAATACCGATGTTCTTGTCGTCCAGTGCCCTGGGAACTAGGAGAAGATCCTTGATTTTTACACTGAACAACAACACATGAAGGACAATACCAATTTCCATCTGGAATCTTTGAAAGTGGAGGGTTTAAGCAATAAGTGTGATACTCAGAATCACATGAGTCACAGAGTAAAACACTGTCATCATCCTTATCAATACCACAAACTTTGCAAACTCCCTCTTCCCAGGGTGCTCTAGGAACTTCATTTGCATGGTGAAGGTCATTTCTATTCCTCGTAGCTTCATCATTTGAACATCCAACACTGGTATCATCAGCAAAATTCTTAACCAGGCTGAGAACCTACATTGAAGAAACCAACTAAGCTATTTATTACCAAGCAAGACTTGAAAGAACCAAGTCATGGGAAGAAAAATTTAGGATAAAATGAATTGTGAGATATCTAAAAAAGGTTATAGATACCTTCAACAACTATGAAAATGTATATGCAAAAGTTTTCCAGATAGGTGAGGTAAGTTTAGATAACCATTAAAACAGATATTATTAGGCTCATACAAATCATCAGCACTATACCTTTATGACATAACTGCAGTCCATACAATCAGTATGATACAGACTCCTCTTCCATATTTTTACTTTGTTCATACACACGATGAGAAATCATTATTTCTACTTTCTGATCTACCAGGGACATACGGACGGCTTTACTGGCTGGGCTGCCCAAAGAGTGAAAAGAGTGGGATGGACAATGTATGACAAGACACAAGAGGTATGTTTGCAATGAGCTACTAAAAAATAAGGGGTTGTGACAAGACAGTGTACACAATTTTAGATAAGGTACCGAGCATGATAAAACAAGAAGCCTATTACAAAAATTCTCACCAAAGGAAAAATAAATAAAACATCATTTCAGACAATAAGCTTTCGCGCCAAATCAGCTACATGTCCACTCATTCCACATGACCCAAACGGACACAAGAGGATGAGGCATCATTTCTGGTCACCATCTAGTGGTCAACGCCACTTCCATCCTTTTGATGGCTCCATCCTTTTGAGGAGATGTCACTGTACGCTTCTTATGTGAAGTAGACTAAGAAATCTCATGTGAAAGAGAACTCTGGGAACCAGTGGTTAATATTGCAATAGTATGATAAGCTATTTTTTCTCCCAGATATAAATTATTCTGAGAGTAGAAGTATCTTATCAAGCTGCTCAATCAACTCCTCTTGAAAGTCCATTCCATAACCTTGGGCTCCAGACTTTGTCCGGGAAAAGGACTACAACAAAGACTGACGAGAAGTCTTGGTAACACCGGTATAGAACAACTGGGATAAATATATTCCATGATTTTTTTTATTTCACTTGAACATTTAAAGGATTATTTCAGGATTTATGTTGACTGGCCATCTGTATAGCAGCCATTACAAGCCTTTGCCTATCAATGATAGCTCAAAATATCAAAATGGTACTTCAGTATTTTCCTTTAAAGCCCTCATTCCTGTCTAATAAGCTGTCACTATATCTATTCTGATGGACAAGAATAGTTCAATAATCAGATCTCTTGCATATGTTTATGCCTCATCTTGTTAATGATTAACAAAATTTCTGAGGAAGCGAACTTTGGCCTGTGCAGTTTTCCACTCTATTTAGTGAAATTTAGCTTCTTCTTTTTTTTCCCACCCACTAATAAAACCAGAATTCAGTGGTGTCGGCAGCGGATTTCAAGAACCTTGTGTACTTGAGCACAATTAGAAAGAATGTCCCCATGGAATCCTGCTATACCCATGAAAGACGTTGAAGCAGTTTTTTTTTTTTACTACCAACTACAAGTACCCACTCAAAATAAAAGACAGAGGAGCTAACAGAAGTCAAAGAAACTTTACTCTGGATTAGCAAAAGCTTGAAACTCGTCAAGCTTTGGAATAAAAGCCATTCGCAAAAATTAAGTACGTGAAAATAACCAATTAATGCCTCAACAGCTGTAAGCCTATTAAGCAGATAAACAAGAAAAGGCGAAATAAAAAATGAAGAGAAGAAAAAAACCATGACCAGAGAGACTGAAACCTGTTTCTCATATAGTGACTCAAAATTCTTTGATAAACTTTCAGCCAATTCCATCAAATCAGGACGATCTCCATAAGCCATGTAGATGTTGTGCCAAACCTACCAAACACCAACATATACAAGAGTCATTATCAGTTTCTTCCACGAACTAAGCATATGAAAGATAAATCATATGACATGAAGCATGTATCCTTGAAAGAACTCAAAATTATTGCAAGACTGATCAATCAGGAAGGAACAAGCCTTTTGAGGAAGAGTCATACAACACCGAGGTCCATTAAAGAATGGAACTTTTCAATCGGCATCTTAAACAATCTAGAATAAATGAATAACCTTGTAAAACTGATAAATAAATAAATAATCATTAAACGGTCCTCCCCAAATTATCAGTCTACTACTCCAATAAGATGTCAGGTACATTCAATGCTTAGGTAGAAATTTACGAGTACTCATTAGACCATTTCATATAGAAATCCTGTGGAAAAGAAAAGCATACCTCCCGTACATCCTCCACAAAAACTTCGTGGGATCCACCATATGCACCAACAGCTAATCTCAGATCAATTGTTCTAAAATCTAAAGGACGAGAAACCATGGCAGGGAACCCAAGAATCCCTTCATCATCATTATCATTAGGATTTGACATTGAAGATCCCAACAGGTTGCAGAAAACTTTATCTTCATCTGCAGCAGCAGCTTGGCGAAGTACAATTCGACATTGTTTCATAATGACGTCTGACTTTGGTTCATTATGCTTTGTTTTCCTTCCCTTGATGGGTTTGCTGTGCAGATTTCCACCAGAGACTGCTTCCAACACGGAGAGAACAGCTTTCTACATTACATGAACAAGAACGTTAATTATGAGGCTATCAATAACATGATATTTTCCAGTTAAATAATTGTGGATGTTAAAGGAAAATGTAATGATTCACTTGTAAAAGTTAACAATTATGGAAGTTCTGAAATTTCAGAAATCAAAGAACCATTCGTCATGATGGGTGACAAACATGTAATTGGCATTCATCATAAATGGAGACGAGCTTGAGGCATCCTTCTAATGGAAAAAGAATATGGAAGCTGATAGAGATGGATAGTCCACACAATTAGAATCTTTAAAGTACATTGCAACAATAAAATTAAACTGTCTCTTGGAACAGTGAGCCCTGCAGCAAATCTTAAAGAATTCCAATTTATATTGACGAGTAAGAACTTATAGTGTCCACACGTAGCATAAACATCCGACCAAGAAACACAATATTTATCCGCTGAAAACCTGTTCTTCCACCCTTGACTCTTTCACCCTGTTCTGCAACATCTCCATGAATTATAACCAAAAGCCTTGGCAAGAACTTCCTGTTTTCAATCCTTGTTTTATCCACATATTTTTCTTTTTACAGAAATATGATGACAGATTTATTATAGCCACCAATTTTCGATAAGAGACACCTTCCAAATCATATGCTTCAAAATTGTTCTTTCACCACAGAAACTTTGCCAAATCCCAGGAAGGAGGCCAGGGTAACTGGTGGTTGTATAGCCAGGTAAGTCATCCAGGATTTGCTAGACATTGTTTTCACAGTCAAGCGGGACACTAACAAATGAATGAAACAATGTGAAGAGTATAATAAGGGCATCAAGTATCAAAGCTCCGTATGGTTATTATATGTTGACTTTAAGGTATTATCACGAGCAGGTTCGATTAATGCAAATTTAAAACTTCGCAGTACACATGTTCGGTTATTACACCATGATTCTATGTCAAAGTCGTATAATAGAAGAGTGAACCCAAGAAGAAATAGTGAAGATTACCAAAAAAGTAGCATCAACAATTTATAATTTCTATGAACTTCTATGAAAGACAATTCTTTGGAACTTCTGGTTATTTTATACCTCAGGTAAGAACCATACTGACAAAGCAAAGAGCTCCCAAAAAATGTGCTAGGTCAGTCGACAATATTCAGTTATGTATTTGATAAAAAAAGATATTATCAAGATCACAATTTCGTCATAAAAGTGTTAGTGGAGGGGATTAGTATGCCCCCAGAAACAAAAACAAAATTGTACACCCAGCGAAAAGCATTGAGAAATAGGACGTGCTCATAAATCTATACCGATGACTTAAAAATAACTGTCAAACCAAAAAAACAATTAACGGATAAGTATTGTTAGCTTAAGATCCTTCGCCAACATAAAAGACCAAGAATTTCGGAAATAAGCTCTTTTCAAAAACTAACAAAGATTTACCTTTGTTGGCCCGGATGCATTTCCTTTATAAACCTCCTTACTAATGGAATGCTCCAAAATTTTTCTTGCCCAGTCTGGCGGATCTTTCTCCAGAGAATCATAGATGCACTTCCTAATCCTAGTTCCCACATTAGTGGGAAGTTTCCTTACTGGTTCCAGAAGCTGTGCCCACTCTGGGGTCCCTAGACCATTGTTCACTGGGGGCTCAGCAAGAGAAACAACAGCAGGATCCTTATCCTCCACGGGCCAAGCATCATTCTCTCTTCTTAGTGGATCAGAAATTTGTTTGTAAGCCTCTGCAAGCAGCTGAGAATTATGTAAGTTAGTGAATAGCTTTCAGTAAGCCATTTATCTACATAATTAAAATAAAAAGAAACCAACTTTACCATGAACCAAAGGAACATTTTTCAAAGCATCTAGAGGAGAGTAAACCTTCTCACAGCATACAAGAGAGGAAGGATCGATGAAGGTGTTTAATTAATAAAAGAAAAATATTACCAAAATTTAGACAGGTTTCCGGACTATCATCAGATTTCTTTACCATTTCATGCATGCAATCATCTGTGAAGCATTTAAACGCACAGGAAGTTCGAGACAGCTGTGGCTAAATGATAGTTCAAAAGCTTCTCCAAGGGAAGTAAATAATCAGACAACCTGGGGATTTGACATCGTGCATTTTCTATAAAACAGAAAGAAGAGATTCTCACTTCTCACATGAATATGACTTGAGGGAATAGCTAGATGAAATCATAGGGCATTCTGTGAGTTTATTTTTTCTTATTTCACATGATTGCATCCCACATTAAAACACCATGCCTCGCATTGTCTCAGATAAGTTTCACCGAAAGAAGAAGTGTCATCACAATCATAAAGAAGAAATTCTCACTTCTCACAAGGATGACTTGAGGGAATTGCTAGATGATGATTTCCTGGAGGTTGGGTTCCCTATCATTTGCGGGAGAAATCATAGGCATTCTGTGCTCTTCTTTTTCTTTTCTTCTTTCACATGATTCCATGTCATATTAGCACAACATGCCTCGCATTTTCTCAGATAAGTTTCACTGAGCGAAGAATCGCTAATCACAAACTCTCTAAGAACAATGATAATGCTGACCCAAAAAACTGATTAGTTATTGCATTCCAAATAAGGAGATCCAAAATTTCAGGAAAATCGATCAGTCTAAGGTATGGAGGGAATGACAACGTTGCAACAAAACATCATGAATAACAACTTTAATCTGATAATTAAGAAAAAAATGAAATATAAAAACATGATCCGCCAAACTATCATTGCAACTGAAATATCTCATGGAAGAAAACATAACTCGAATCAAGAAAATGGCTTACGAAAGATTTACCAATGCATCTGCTTCCATACCAGCAACCCCAGCAAGTGACCCACAGAGAACCCCACCATCACCATGTATGCAGCGAAAGATTTTTAGTCCATCACGACAAGATATTTCAGAAGACTCTAGGCTTCGATCTGTAGATAAGACAGCTAAAATGTATCTCCTCGCTAATTCTGGCCAAGACAATGCATTAAGTGGAAGGATGTCAATCTTTGCCTTCTTTGCCTGAAGGGAATTATCGACATCTCTTTTCCTTCCACGCCTAGATTTTGATTCTCCAGGATCGAAGCTAGGATCTGCAAACACTGAGACCTTCGACAGCAACTCACCTACCAAAACTTTCAGAAGTGACATATGAACCTTCGCCAAAACGTTACCAGTGCATCTACCATAAGTACATGATGCCATTTTAGCTAGAGAAGCCTCCCTCATGGGTCCTGTCTCAACCTGAATAAACAATGGTGTACGCTGCCCAGAAACTGGCAAATCAGTTTCAAAAGTGGAATTTCTACCAGCAATTTCTCTTGAATGTGAAGACAATTCTCGAGTTTCCTGGATTTCTTTCTCAAACGTTTCAAGACGAGCAGTGCCAATAGGCCATGGGTCAATGAGCTCCTCTTCAAGTTCGTTGAAGGATATTGGCTCTCCCAAACCCAAAATCTCAAAGAAACGCCACAAAAACTCCCATATCTGAACAAACATTCGAAGAGTAAGAGGTGTGAAATAAAAAAAACTTTGTTTCTAAATAGCTTTTTAGCTTTTCTTAGAAGCCTTTAAAAAGTGTCATCTACGTACCTGGACAACATCACCCACCAGCTCTAAAGGAAACCTACTGTCCAAAGGTCGTCCAGGAGGAAAGTGCTTGGCTGAATGTAGCTCTTCAACTTGCTCTTGCACCGTGGATATTTTGGGTCCATACAGAGTAGACAATGCCACTTCCTCCGCATATTGTTCCATAGCTTGTCCTTTAGCTGACAGAAAACCGCTACCAACCGTTTTCGATGTAGGATAACAACTCCTTTTAGTTAAAAATTTATATTTCCTGCAACCAAGGGCTCCTGGAAGCCGTTCTATGATTTCCTGTGCAAAATCCATATCCAATCCAAATCTATCATGTTCTAGCCATGTTGCTAATGATTCACAAGAAGCTTCCAGCTGACTCTCACAGTTGATTACCTTCGGAACTTGACGTGGGCCAAAAACACAAAAAAATCTAGCCAAGGGACCAAGTTTTTTCAACTTTTGCTCATTCTCAACATCCTCACAAAATGAAGATACCCCACACACAGCATGTGTGCAACAAAGCTTCAGATTTCCTGAGTGACTGTAAACTTCATGACACAAATTGATAAGAGTCTGAGATACTTTTCTCCATACTGCAGACGATGATCTTCCTTGTACATGAAACTCTCCAATTTCATTCTTCAATGGATTTTCAGAATGGCCCGCTCTCTGGTTATCTGCTGATGATATAGATGGATCATAGCAATTCTCTGAGAAATTTGAGAGGCAGGACAAGAAATCTTGCTGAAATGGATCGGGTTCTGACACTAACATTTGAATTTGAGTCGAATCATTGTCAGAAAAATCCTCAAGTGCACTACCTTCTAAAGGAGCCAGAACAGATGGTGAAAGAACAATTCTCCCATCTCCAATCGGCGGTAGAGAGCAAGGACGTCGTTTAACCTTGAATACGGGTCCAGAATCACCCCCATCTGCAACTTCAGACTCAAACAATGATCCAGTTATTTTATCATGCCACTGGCACGTATAACCTATGGGCCAAATATGACGGGTATCATGATATGCTGGTCGTTGATCGACTTCACCCAAAGAGCTAATAAAAAAATCCGCGAATTGAACAGGTAAACCAAGCTGGAAGTGCAATGGCCAAGTATTAACACTAGGAAAAAGTAATTCTTATTCGACAGAAACTAATAATCAAAAGTTCAAAAATTATAATGAACTCCAAAATACTTACATTCAGCTGATGAGAGGGGCAGTTTTTCTCTTCCAGAATAGATTCAGTAGCACTTGCATCTTGAGTTGTGTTGTGCTGCCAAGGTTCTACAGTTTCATCATCAGACGAATCTCCACGATGTCCATTTATCATGATTCCTTGCATTTCAGAATCACTACTTGTTCTTGAAAGTCGTGCTAGGCCTTTCATCCTTTTGCACTGAGGCAAGGGCATTTGCAGAGAATCAGATGCCTCAGTTCTTTCATCAACATCCATAGAAGTGACCTTTGACGTTAAACCAAGATAACGAGCAACATCAACCATCGAATCAAACCGATTACCATCTGGGGAACAAAAAACAGCGTATGCATCATGATTGTTAGACCACTGCTTGAACTCCACATGCCAGCCATCACCCAGGAAACCCTGTCTTTCGACTATGAATTCCTTTAGTGATTGCAAAAACACCTCTGCTTGCAGCTGAGTTGATTGCCTCACAGTATCTTTATTACTTGCAGGTGTCGTTCCAGGTGAAGTCAAGAACACATCGTCACAAATACTCATGTCAGTCAAACCTTGAAATGCCACTGACCCTATGCCTGACTCAGAATTATCAGTCAAAATACCAATTCTTTTTCTTGTATCAAATCCACTGCCCCTGTTCTCTAAATCTAAATGTGGCAATTGACCATTGAAGCTCTTATGTGAATCTCTATCCAAAGCGAACGGCCTAAGCATAGGATAAAGTCGAGATAAGTAACAACAAAAATGAAATCCATTAAAGAAACTTTTGGGTTGAACGCTAACATTACTTTGTCAAAGGTGTAGGAGATCCAACATTCACTTCTTTAAAGATTTGTGCTACCGTTGTAGTCAGTTAATAATTCCTTTTCGTATGGAATCTTTCTCAAGTTTATCATGTTTTCTGACAGTAATCATCAGCAAAGCTAAACCGCTAAGAAACAGTTTTCATAAACTTGCAACACTTTCATTTCAGTCAATGGTTCAACTAAAATAATAATGAATAAAACTATATGAATTAAGTTGATTTCAGGAGAATAAATGGAAGCGAGGCAACCAGAGTTTTACATATTTGCACCAAAAACTTCAACTTTCAATGAATTATTGGAGATATTACTGGGAAGAGAACTACGTTCAGAAATTTTTTAAGGCACATGATACACAGCATACTTAACCAGAGCGAGAACCTGGGTTAATATGCAGGTGCCCCTGCATCATTGATTTTTTTAACTTCCTCAAGTGGCTTACCGACTGTTGTCATCTGTATAATATGTAAACAAGACACAGCTGATAGATCGAGAATTTCGTTTTTCTATCCTTCTTTTTATACCTACATTTGAAAAAAGGCTGCAGTCTTTCCGATATCTTCAGTTTCCCAGTTCCCTGTTTCCCTCTTAGCTGAAATTAAAGCTGCCGCCAGTTTTTCGTACGTGAAAAGTTAGAAAAAGACAGCTGCAATGTTTCGAAGAGAATTCCGTAATAGTACGATCAAAAATGCTAAACCTATCCCTTTGGTTGGCAATTTAGAACACACCCATTTGGGTAGTAACCATTTCAACAGCAGAAGATTAGATAAAACACTCACAAAAAAAAAAACACATGCAACAAACACATCCAATATGGACGTATTGGATGTGTTATATTTCTTTTGGGTAGTAACCATTTCAACAGCAGAAGATTAGATAAAACACTCACAAAAAAAAACACATGCAACAAACACATCCAATATGGACGTATTATTGAAGCTAAAAGAAAACCGTAATTATAGAGAAATAAAGGATGAGATTATGAATATGTGAAGAAAAGGAGATGTTTAATGCAGAAAAATGTGTAACCTCATCTATTTCACATAAAAAAAATCTCATGGAGGAATTAAGAAAGCGAATAAAGAAGTTGACTGAAGAAATATAAAGAAACTAAAGGGAGAAAAATGCCTGTTGGTGTCCTCGAATACACTGCTACGGTTTGGAAGCGCCTCAGGCGGGCCTCCAGGGACACCATCCCCATCCCCATCACTAGGAGGCGGAGCGTTGATGTCCAACAGCCTAACTCCTCCACGCTGGTCTGCAGCCGACACTGTCCCGAGAGGCCATCTCTTGCTGTCGTGCCGCCTCCGTTTGCAGTCACTGCAGATCCAGTCGTCGAGTGAGAACGCTTGGCGACTCCTAATCTTCGCGCACCCTAGGTGGAACCCCTTCTCACAGCGGTCACACACCACAGTGTCCCCCTTGGTCTCCGGTCGGCTGCAAACACCGCACGCAGAGACCCGCCCCACGCCAGCCTCCCCCGGAAACTCCGCCAGCGGCCCCTGCGGCACCGGGGGGTTCGCATGGAACCTGAGGGCGACCTCGTAGGCGTCGAGGAGGACCACCGCAGGGGCCGTCGCGGGCCCAGAGGTAGGGGTCGACGACGGGGTGTCGCTGGAGGGCGAAGGGATTTCATTGAGGTCGATCGAGAGGCAGATCGGCCGGCCCTCCGCCTGGCGGTGACGGCGGGAGGCGGCCGCCGCGGGGCCCGCCGCCTCGTCGACGCTGTCCATTACCGGAGGGCACCGCCGTTCTCTCCTGGCGGATCCGCTTGCATTTCGACTGTACGTCAGACGGTACGCCAGCTAGGGTTTCGGGGGAAGACGCAACAGAGAAATCTGGAGCAAGCTCGTATGTTTCCCCGGATACCCAGAGACGGTGACGAAGAAGACAGAGATAGAAGCGAGATAACAGGCCAGAAAGGTGAAGGGAGATAGAGAAAGAGTAAGAGAGATAGAGAGAGAGAGAGGAGCTGACACTGTCTGCGTCGAGAGGTGCGATCACCGAAGGTGAGTTGGGGCATATCCTCACCGGCACGCGTCGCTGTAGCTGCGTCGTTAACGCGATCGGGTGCCTGTGACGCCGCCGCCGGAGGTGGTCAACGACAGGTCCGGCGGACCCTTTTCACGAATTTTGATGATGTGGTATTTATTGGGATTTACCGGATGGTGTCTCTCTCTCTCTCTCTCTCTCTCTCTCTCTCTCTCTCTCTCTCTCTCTCTCTCTCTCTGTTTATGGGCTTTTCCTGCTTAAAAGGCCTTCCCAGTGGTGTTACCGGGCCCATGTTGGGCTAGAGATAGTAACATTTAGCGGACCGGGTCTGGAGAAAAGAAGCCCACAAAATAAGCACTGGGTCAACCACGATGAAATACCCAAGCACAGGTTTCCCGTAGGCCTGGCCTAACCCGATCAGAGAATATAGGATACTTTGATGCCCCTAAAAAAAAAAAAGGTTATAAGAAGAAAACTGTGGAGTTTTCTGCAACCAGAATCAGATCACATTTGATCGATTAAAAAAAAAAGAAAAAGAGGCAGAATAATCCTCTTCTGAGTATACGTAAATGCCATGAAGATGAACAATAATTTAAGCTCAAATATATGACTCACATTTTTCCCAAACTTTCCTCGGGAACCCTGCACAAGAACCATGCTCAAAACCTGTGAGACCAGGGAATTCAGGAACTGGGTGGGCATCTTAAATGGCCATCTCACTGATGCCAGCACTCCCCGGCCAATGGCGGGCACAGCAGGAAGAATAACCATTATTTCAGCTCCAGAAAAAGCAAAATCCTTTTCTTTTTTTTCCTGGGTGGGTATACACAGATGTTCTTGAGGAGCCCCACTGGGCAAATAGGACCAGCTTAATCTCCAGGATCCTCTCTGCTACCCGCGCAGCTGTTCTCACTTGCCCTGCTGGAGCTGCACTGATGGAGAAGCTGTCGGCCAAGAAACTGCGGCATCTGGGCCTCAGATGTCGGAGTCTCCTCAACAGCAGGAGTCTCCCCGGCTTCACTCCTTTCCTTCGCGCCGCCAGTCTGCAGGGAGGACGCAGGCGGAGCCGGGTGTGCCGAAGCCGACGGCGCTGCCACCCCCTTTCTCACTCTAGACTTGATATTATCCTCAAAGAACTTCATGACAGATGAGATGCTGGAATAATGGCCGTGCATGAGGGTGTACGCCCACAGGAGGAGCTTCCTCGGTACGCTCAAGTCAAGGGCACCAACACCCTCCGGAACTGGAAGAGAGGAGACGGTGTAGAGTCTGATGCCCGAGGGGAACGTCCCACAGGAACTGTCGCGGAAGAAATTGTAGGCGCACCTCAGCAGGGCAGCGGCAGCCTCCATGTGCTCCTCCGATGCCTGCCTCACATGGGCATCTCTGATCCTAGATAGAGCCTCGTGGCATCTCTCTTCAAGGTCTTTAGAGTAGAAAGAGCCTTCCAATGATGACCTGCATATTTCTTCTGCCTGTAAGTCGACGAAAAGCTGCAGCCCGCTCTCTGAGGCCCCGGTGGCACCGGAGGAGCCCGCAGGCTGGGCAGCACTGTCAGGTGCCGGTGTGATTGAGGCCAACTTGAATAGAATTGATCGGCACCAAGCAATGGAAGCATGTTTACAGATTCTGGACAGGTTGCTGTTTGATAATTTTGGCGTCTTGAATCGCCGCCGGATCCTCTCATTTATCCCTTCGAGTGAATCTATCCGGGCCTCGATCTCCAGATGGTGGATGTACTGGTGGATGTACCCGTAAAGGCTGCTCTCTGATAATTCTGGGCATTTCACCTCAGGCAAGTTCCCGAGATCCCCCAGCTGGTTCACATGGTCTAGCAAAACGTTGAACATCCTCTCCAGGAGTACCTCCAGAGTCAAGGAAGGATCAGCCAACTGGCCGCTCCCTGCATCATGAATTAATGAAGAGAGGACTTTGATGTACCTCCCAAGCACGACGGGCACAATGTCCACCAGGCACAGGGAGAATCTCTTGTCGGTCCGGATATATGAATAGGCCCGCTCCAAGGTCGGCAAGTCCTTGGTCTGCTCCAGGAGGAATGTGTAGAATAAGACGTACTTCCTGATGCAGGTGATAAACTTGCGAGAACTCTCAGGCAAGGTCACTTCGGAACATCTCCTGTTTCCACTGGGCCCAGGGGTTTTCCGCCGGCCCTTCTTGACCATGCTGTCAATCTCCCACATGTTGATTGTAAAGGAGGAACGGGACGACCTGAAGCAGAAGCCAAGCTCGTCCTTTGCTCTCTCAAAGTCCCCAGCCTCACCTCTCTTGTATAGGCCCTGTGCAAGCCGGTACCTGGCCCTGTGAAAATGTTTCAGCTCCCCTTCCACACAGACTTCAAGACCGGATAAGCAATCATCATAGAGCAAGTGCCAAGCTTCGTCCAGCTGCTGGGGCTCGATGGGTTTCGCCATCTTTGAAGAATCATCGCACATGCTGCCCACCTTGGGATCGATGGGGAGGCGATGGCAGTCTGAAGCCCAGCCAAGCATGTCTGAGACCGCCTTTGTGGTCGATTCCTTGAAAGGGTATGAAGCAACAGTCTGAAGCACAACCAGGTTCCGATTTCCATGCCCACAGAGAAGCTTAATTCGTGACGCATGCAACCTGTAAAGGGGGTCGACGGCAGAAGGGTTGAGGGAGATGGCCTTGCTGTAGTAAGAGAGCGCTTTTTCAGAGGAATACCCCATCTTCTCACATATTTTTCCAAGGTAAAATGCATGCAGCCACTCGGGCTTGAGTAAGAACGCCTTCTCAAAGTGCTTCATTGAGTTTTGGCAGAATGATCTCCATGTGGTATCCTTTGCTGGTACAACAGATCGCTGATCATAGAATGGGACAACATTCTGGAGACTGTCATAGTACACAAGCCCGAGCAACTCATGGACTTGGCTCCTTTGATCTGGAGTGCTTGCAAGTGCCAAGCTCATTAAAAGGCAGCGCCGACTCCTCCTTCGGCCCATCTCAACCCTCTGAGGCAAATTATGGCTCCTCTTCCAATCCACAGCATTTATATGCTTGCTCCCATCGTTCAGCAACAGATCTACCTCTTCATCATATATGTTAGCAAGCTTCTGCCAGCTCTCAAATCGCAAGGGATTGTACATCAAATCATACTTGAAGAGGTTTGCACTTTGCTCAACAAATTCCTCTCCTTCTTTCTTGAGTACAAAACCTGGAACTTTATCAGTTGCACTCATTTCTTCTGCCTGAGCAATGAAGTAATACAGGTTGCTGTAAACCTCAGCATAGGGTTCGGAGCCACCTGACCCAGAAGACATGTTGCCTGCTCCTGATAATCCAACATCCGGATATAGTTTACTGATGATAGCTTCCTGACCTCTGTCAGACCCAGCTACTTCACAAAGATCATCCTCAGATAATTCAGGATCCTCTAAAAACTTGTTGAAGGCATTTCGGGCCAATATGTCATCTGGTGGCTGTGGGAAATGCTTACGTATTGCTCTTAAAATTCTTCTCAGTTTAACAATGCCAGCTCTAGACGAAGCTCTTGCATACGGCAATATATACTGAAACACATCAGCACACTGCTCCTTGGTCTGAAAATCTCCACGATTGGTGTTTTTATGTGTTGCCAAATCATCCTCGCTTGATGAATCCTGACCGGTTTTCAAATTTAGGCCATATAAACAGAAGAAGCTCTGATCCAAGGCATTATCAAGTCCCAGCTCCACTTTCGCTCTCTCTAAGTCCTCCAGAAGATCTTCCGATTCCACAAGGTTGCAATCTCTACTGTTTTCCCCAGAAGAGTGCGACTTAACATCTGTACCATCTCTCCCGTTTTCTGCCTCTTCGTCAATCGAGCCAAGTCTAGCACGAGCAGAGCTCTCAGAAGCTGCCTCTTCCGTGCATTCCTCGGGCTGCTGGGCACATTCATCTTCCCCTACTGCACAAGCATCTGATGAAGACGATTCCTTTGGTTTGAGGGCAGCCGATCTTCCATGATCGTCAACAGGAAAAGACTCGTCAACTTGCTTCATTTCTGACTTCTTACAAGAAGAATGATAATTTGACTTCAGTTTCACATCGAGAGCCAAAAGATGCTTGATTGCAAGCTTCAGAAATGTTCCTTCCTCCCCTTCAATATCTTTTCCAGCACAGCAAAGACCATATTCAGCAAGCAAATCGTGAACAGACACAATTAATTCGACCTGGGCTTTGATGGGAACAGTAGGATCAAGGTGTTGAAGTTTGCAGAAGGCAATAGCGGCATCTACAAGGCTCCCACTCTTCAGTTGATCCGATTGACTCACAGCACCAACCCCACAAATTTTCTGGCTACTTATTGTTCTCACAGCATCACACATTACCCACACGAGAAGAGACTGGATCTCTCCAACAGTACAAAACACTGCGTTGGAATTACCATAGGAATCACCTTGTTCAATTATGCTCTTTACTCTGGATACAGTTCGCGATATTGCCTTTATTTCCTCGTAAATCAATTGATTCCAGTGTTGCTGTCCATTCCCAGTGCGATTCGAATCAGTTGTGCTCATTTTAGGTTCTGAACTCGCATTGTTTTTTCCTGACCCAAGCGGATTAATCATGCCAGTTGCACATATGAGTATCTGTAGCTTTCGCTTGTGAGAATTCAAATATACTTCAATATCTATTGCCTCTTCCTTTTCACATGCTGAAATCAGAACGTCCAATGCCTGTACTTCAACAGATCTAAAACCTTCCCTGATGAAACCACACACGAAATCAGGGTAAACATCCTTTGCAGAGAGAAAAAGAGGAGAAAGCAGATCTATACAACTCTTATGTCTACCTTTCTTAGTCATTTTAATGGCTTTCCTTAATAATGAATCAATCCTCAACAAACTTAACTGATGATGAATTCTGTCAACAGTCAATGATCTTGCAACTCTGCAATGAGGTAGCGGGATAATCCCATCTGAATCATTCGAATTTTTACGATTTCTAAGAATTGATAAGCAAATGGATAACTCTTTGATAGCCTTCCGCTTGCCACCAGAAGAAATCGATAAACAGCCACTTAACCAGAAAAAGCGGACCCAAAAAAGGCTGCCATCAGTTGAAACTGTAGATTGCACCTTGGATTGCGTGTAGACAGACTCCTCCACCATGGCTTCACCATTTTCATCGCCTTCACCACAGGCTATACTATTGGAAATGCACTGAACATTGGTGCTTCCGTGATTAGAATCTTTCATCTCTGTATGGAAGGAAGCGCCGACTGGGCAGAAATCCAGAGATACTAGCTCAATGACTTTGCAAAGATGATATGATGCTTCTGTGAAGCACTCTGTACGTTTTAAATCATCATCAGTATGCAGTCCATGGTCATAGTATAGCTCTGCCAGAAAAAGGGTGCATAAAGGAGTCCTGTCCTGGCCACACAGTCTCGTCAATTTCTCTAGTTGTAGGAACTTATCAAAGTTGTTCTGGTAGGGAATGCTTTTGTGAGCAACCTCTTCCAAGAGCAGATGACCAATATGGTAGGCACCACAATTTCGTGAATTTACAGTGGCAAAACTTTTCACATCATTATATTCATCTTTAGATGAATATTCCAAAACATCCGAGGATGGGCCATAGCTACCAGAAAAGTTTTGATCTATTGGTTTTGACTTCTTCAGAATAAATGGCTCAAGAAACCGAAGCACAGCCTTCTCCATATCCTTGCCACTAAATGAATCTAAATCCTCCTTCTCTGGTTTGCGACTTCTAAGCCTTCCCAGGCGTGTGCTCCTCCTCCCCTGAGGATGATCTTCTTCTGTGTAGTTTTCGTGTTCCTTCACAGTACCAATTTTATCAAAGTCATAATCAGGAAGAGACAAACATTCCCCACCAGAAGTGATTGACACTACTTTTCCCTTTGCAGTATTCTTCACACTTTCTACACTTGGAGACAAGTGTATAATAATCTTGATATCAGTACACCTGAGACTCCTTTTACAATTTTCAGGGTCCATAGATTCTCCGTTTCTTCCCACAGCAATGTGCGCCTGTCCATTACTTTCAATCTCATTTTCTGTTGCGCTTTGAGTACACTCTATCTTCTGTCCGGAGGTCCTTAAATTTTCTGAAACCATGACATCAAGGATAGCATCAGCGAGGGCTTCCCAAGTTACTCTAGAAAGATATATCTCCACATTCTGATTTTGCCTTTTCGAGGAAGATTTCTCAATGCCATCCTCCACTCCCTTTCTCTTGGTTGAAAATCGAAGCCTGGCATGCTTAGGTTCAAGCTTATCAATACCGCGAGGTGCAAACTGTATTGGTTCTGCGTATTCAATGGTCTTCTTGACATGTAATGCACGTGAATGAGATGGCCAATGCCTAAGTATTAAATTGGTTATTGAAAGGCAAGAAACCTCGTCCCCAATAGCAATAAGTACCTCCAGGAGTTTTTCCATGCAGTTCCAGTTGTTAGGGCTACAAAGAAGTCCTTGCTCAAATGCCCATCTTGAGGTACTCAGTAAACGCATGGAGCATGACAGTGTCCCCAATTGGTTCCACACAACCGGATCTTTGTCATCAATTTCAACAGCTTGCAGGTAGCATTGAAGTGCATTATCATAATGGGTAGCACCTTGTTGTAGGAAAACAGCTGCTAGATTCTTCAGCGTCAAGAACCTTAGTTGGAGCAAATGGCTATCACTTGCATTACTACCCACAGCACCTGTTACTAGAGGATCCTTGAGAACAGCTTCCAAAAGTTCTCGAGCTTTTATATAATCTTTAGCATGCAAATTTACAAGGCCATCGTGGTAATTTTGAGAGAGACGAAATTCTTGGGCTTCCTTGGAAGGTGCAAGAGTCTCCCATTTACCTCCTGTTTCTTTGTCATTAATGGCTGTAATGGAAAACATTGGCGTTGAAGAGAGACTCACCAGCCAAATGAAATACAACCTAACAATGTCCTTCCTCAACCAAGTTTATATCACAGAACATAAGTCGGATCCTGAAGAATTTGCTCTCTATTCCCCCTTATCTAGACAAATACGAATTTCCAGGTGTCAGTTCCTAGTTGCTTAGTCGAATGGCACAACATGGTAGTAAAAGACAGAATCATAAAATGCATACATGTCACCGAAATGCAAATAATAAGGGAGATAATCAAATCGTGGATACTGACATTACCCAGATCCCATAAAGTAACCATAAATATGAAGAGGAAATTCCATCACTTATGACAAACAAGGTCATTGGCTCACTGGTGCCAAACCCTCTTCTAAAAAAAACAAAAGATCTTAACTTAGAATAAATCGAATGTATTATCAACTTATAAATATGATGGAAAATATTAGTCGGCCAAACCTCTCACTGCAGCCTCGGGGCAACTACTAGTGTAACACAATCTAATTTTTCTACAAACACTCTCCTGATGTGTAATGTCAGTCAGAACAATCAAGAAAAGAGCACTGAGTATGATAATAAACATGAGCATAGGGTGCGTGTCATGAGCAATGGAATCCCAACACAAAACTGCATAAGTCCTACCAAAGTTTTCTTGGATACAACTACAAGCAAATGGAAAGATGAAAATTTTGATCGAATCTCATCTAAACTTCGATTTCCTATGACATCATAGTCAAGGGAAAAGAGAGAAGCAAAGCACGGCTAAAAGATGTATTTTCACTTCAGAGGAAAATATCCAAATAAAAAATAAAAATGAATGTTTCCCACCACAACAGATAAAAAGTAATGCAATCAATCGGTTAGCAGACCATGAAGAACCAAGTCCTTTTAAGGTTATCAATTTCCTTCGAAATGACCATTTTCTATGAAAAACTTATGTATGCACAGGCATAGTTCTTGAAATTCAAGTTATATCACTGCTGCTTTCCCAAGGACTAGTGTCTGTGGCGGGCATTGAGAACAAAACACAGAAGATGATTTCAGTAGCAATGGAAGCACCGGTAACAATGGTGACACAGTGACAATAATGCAGCTATGTCTACATTTACATGCAGAGATAATGTATATATTTTTTGATTTTGACTTCTTATCTGGGAACTACTAGCATTCAAGATGTCTGACCCAAGGAGGTTTTCTCTTTAAAAATTTACCCCCAAAAAAAAAAAATCCACAAAACAGTGTTATTGGCTGACGACAGTTTTTTACCACAAGAAGTTTGTAATGGCGATAGAACTTGAGGATATGTCTAAAGAAAAATCCAGACTTCAATGTACATAACCATCTCCATAAGTTGCAATACGTCCCCATCTAAATAGCTTTAACATCAGGTTACTTGGATTATGGAACCTAAAACGGAAAATATAAAGCAAAAAAAAACAATGGAGGAAAACAACAGCTTTGAGGACATGGGACCTCAAAGACCATCTCGATGTTTGCAACCACGATAAGGAAAGACCATCGAGTTTAATGATCAACTGGTTATCTACTTTCCTCTTCTTCCTTATCTACTGTCTAACCTAATCATTGTCTACTCTAAAATAGAGACAGACTTCCAGGTCCGATCCAAATGGCACTAAAAAGAAAAAGAAGGTTTATGCCAAGACATATAAGCCACTCCGATAAAGTTTACCAAATTCAACTTACAAATGGAACAACGTTTTCAGATTCCAAATACTAATCAGGTCGGTTGACCACCAAACTTCAAAATGTGCGTTGTAATACTCGGTAAGAAAAGAGGTCAGACACGAAGAGCTGCCTTCGAACGGAGCCTATCCGCCGTTCCGTACACCGGGGATATCACCAGGACCGCGATTCAGCGCTCAAAACCCTGAAAGGATCCCACAATTAGATAAACCCCAACGATCAACGAACAAACAAGAAAAGCCAAATTACCTTGCCGACCAGAATGCCTCGTGGGGCTTCCGCCGCGCCCCCGATCTCCTCATCCCCCGGATGCCCGGTCACAGCAGCAGCAGCTTTGAGAAAGCCTGCCAGCAGCGGGAGAGAGAGAGAGAGAGAGGTATTTCTGACCAAAGGAGCCTTCAGGTTCAACACACCCCGCGCTGGCTCTACGGTTGATGGGTTCGAACCGAAAAGCCGTATAACTCGGGTTGCGGTCACTCCCCCTCCGCGTTTTGAATATCTCGCGTGGACTATGGACCTAAGCTCTGATCTGGATATTCAAAATCATTATGCTCATATTCTAATTTTTCATAGTTATGAAGAAAAAAACCTGAACTGTAAGAATGCTGTAACCCAAATCTGGGTTTGACAAAGATCAGGTTTGCTTTTATCACATTCATTTTTTTCATCTTCAACTATCATCTTGTATCAAACATTCCAAATAGTTTATATAAACTTAAACACATACCCAAGTTTTATAATTTGGGCTTCAAAATCATGTTCAACTAGAAAAATACGTTCATGAAGTCCATATCCTCTCTCTCTCTCTATTTATCTATCTATCTATACTTTTTTTCTCTCTTTCTCCCTTGCTCCTGATGTTCAAGACCTTTTCATCTTATTCCATGGAGCTAGTGAGTTGGCGCCATTAGCAATTTGAATGATTGGTAGTCTAAGTCATTTTGAATTTCGTGTCCACTTTGTTCATGTGGACTTAAGATAGGCCACTGATAGACAAGTTGATTGGCCTGACTCAAAGAAGGCCATACTTGTTAAGAGTGTAAAGTTATAAAAATATATATATATATTTATGAATTTTAACTTGGCTTTAAAAACATAATAAAGAGTTGTATACTCTTAAGTCTAGGAATATTAAGTTGATGATAATGACACAAACTAGTATATTAATCTCCCTTTCTCATAGAAAAATGGAATTAAAAATTAGTGTGAAATAATAATCACCAGTAAGCTTGACATGTGTATTTTTGGGGGAATTTAAAATAAATTAAATAATTTGTCGAAAATGGATAAAAAAATGATCATCCATTAAATATATGTGACGTCTCATATTACCTGGAAAAAAACATTTGGGAAAACTATTTATTTTCTCTCAAATAATCAGCCATCATAACCAAATTTTCAAGTAGCCTTAGAAATCCCAAGAAATTTTACCTCTGATCCAATCTTCAAGCTCCGCGTGGAGGGAGAAGTCTCACATGGAAGCAACTTTAAGAGAGACATTACAACCAACAGCTTCGAGCCATTTTAGCTATTTATTATGCCGGGAAGATAGCCGCCGCTTTCCTTCCCCGCACTCCGGCGGCATCACGGAGTACCTAGCGCCGTCTCTGCAGTAGGAATAGAACATGAACCTTCCCCTTGCCCGCTCCATCGCCGCCCGTTGCGGCGGCGACAGCTCCACAAAGTCCCGCCCATCGACAGGGCGGAGCCCGAGGCGCTGCACCGGAACGCCGCCAGGGCACGGCGGCTCTCCCGGCCCCGGCGCCGTCCGGTTCCACGCGCAGCCCTCCATCTCTAGCGCCGCGAATGACGCCACGAACGGCGCGTAGGCGTAGTCGACGGGCCTCGTTCCGCCGCGCGTTGCCCACGCCGAGCCGTCCCATATAGTGGCGTAGAGCGACATCGGCTTCCCCGGGAAGGCCCCTGCCATGGCGGCGCTGTGGTTCACCTCCCGCACGGGGACATCGTCCACCAGGAACCTGCATGGGCAGGCACACGTGCGTGAACTTGGGCCAACGTACGAAGGCAGACCGTCTGTCTACCTATGTAGGTAAGGCTCCCCCACGGTGGGTGAGGTGCAACTCATGGAGGATTTCATCTCTCTTAATGGTTGCACCACTCCGTACCTGGGAGGTTGATGGAGAATTCAAGGGGGATTCATAAGGTTCAGCTTCCATGGTCCATTGCATTAAATTTTCATTATTATTTGTGCACCTGTTTAATTTCTTAGTGGCAGGTTTAAACATAAGATCCAACCATAGTTTCATTTCCTAATGCTTTATTTAGGACACTAATATTTATAGCAAAAAATCGAGCCATATAAGTCAAATAAATAAATTATGTTCGTGTGGGGAACATTGAATTCATTAAAAAAGAAGATTGAGTCATATACATGTATGCCAAGGAATTGAGTCATATAACTTGAAACAATACATGACATTTGTGCAAGAAGATTCAATTAATTAGCAAGGTATTGTAGTCATATGTACGAGGAAGAATTGAACAATGTACCTAAATCAATCAATTAATAGTTTGCTTATTTATTTTCGCTAACATTGTATTGGAGTGGTAAAATCGAGCAATACCATTTGAAACAAATGAATATAACTGCTCACATTTGATTTATGAAGTAGTAAGCTTTGTTCACTTTAGAAAATGACTTGACAAGATCTTCACATACATTTTTTAACAATATGATATAGTATTAAAATAAAATTAAAGAAAGCTACTATCAAGCTTTTATAGGCAATTAAGTTGAGGATCCAATTGAAAAGTTATAGGAGACACTTCTTTAAATATAATGAAAAACATAAAAAAAAACAAATCAATTGTAAACATAAGATATTAAAACCATGGTAACAAACGTTCTTCTAAATTCTATGAAATTATTCATTATTAGCTAAATTATTAAATCATCACTCATACACTTGCAGCTTTGTAATTACAAATAATTCAAGATAAATTTAGATTATGTGAAAATCTATTTGGCTAAATTATTAAATCATCACACATACACTTACAACTTTGTAATTAAAACTAATTCAAGATAAATTTAGATTATGTGAAAATCTATTTTGTTAACTTAAAGAATAAAAGTTCAAAATCAGTTGTAATATTGTTTGCTAGTTACCTAAGACTGTTCTAAAAATGGTAGTCTTTGTCTTCATTTCATTTGCTTTGTTAAAATCAAACGAGGTTGAATGGATCACATAAAAAGATGCCAAGTTTGAAACCCGATTGTCTTACACGATGTGACGGTGGTTCCAGATGATGCTGTACTCGTGGAATGTAGCTGCCGGGTCAAACCAGAAATGGAACCTCTCCTCCCTACCTGTGCCCACACTGCCGTTGCCGTACAAGTTGGTCTGTAGAACCCACTCGTCCCCCTCTATATGTCCAAGAAACTCGAAGTCTATTTCGTCGTGGTTGCGGGAGAAGACCTCGGCATTCGACAACTTTGTAATTCAAAGAATAAGCATAAAGTAAGTTTATTAAGAACATGGGACGTTAAAGTAAGCAATCATGCATACACATATAGGCATATATATATAAGATAAACATAGGGGGATATATACATATGAGAGAGAGACGTATAACGTATCTATGTATAGGAGAGATAAAGCTAAATTAATATATGTATATATATATATATATATATATATAAAGAAAGAGAGAGAGAGAGAGAGATAGAGATAGAGAGCGGGAATTTACATAGAAAGCAACAACAACTCCGGCAGAGTAATTCACAGGCAGCTTGATGCCAGCACTGAAGAAGCCATAGTAATAATCGGCACGGGATTTGAAGCCCGATCCTGCATGTGAAGTAGAACGCATCCGAAGTCATGCATCGAGACAACTTGTTAAATTGAGTGGCAGAGCGTGTGTGTGTGAGAGAGAGAGCTGTCACAGTCTACTACCTGAGCTCCTAGTGAGGGAGATATTAACCAGCATTCCGTTCCTCAGCTTCTGGACGTTCTCCCCGCCGTAGACGTCGACGAAGCCGTCGGCGAAGGCGATGTGACGGAAAACCCAGCTGAGGCGGGGCGGCGCAGCTTGGGGGACAGCAGCGACCCCCAGGAAGGAGAGCAGCACAAGTTGGAGCAACAAACTGCGCCAGAAGTACGCCATCTCTATGACCCTCCAAGCTCCTTTCCCCTTCTGTCTCGGGAGAAAAAGCTACGAGGATGGGCAGCTAAAACAGTACTCGCAGATGAAGACACTATCGGAGTTGGTATCATCTCTCTCTCTCTCTCTCTCTATGCCCCTTTCTGGAACTTGGAACGAGACGTACGATGACTCACTCATGCATGTGGGCTGAGTGGGGACCCTCCGGGAGTTTCCGCATCTGCAAGACGTCTCTCTACAGCTGGGAACATTGAATGGATGAGTTCTCTTCCCTGCTTCGAGGGGTTGAAGGTTCTCCGGAAGATTCGCGGCCGGCGTCCACCTCTGAAGGCGGCATCACATTTGTTCTTTTTCCGAGATCATCAGCGTACCCACAATAAATTGACTAAAAATTATTTCATCACTCTATGAACTAAGGATTCTAATAACCAGGCGAGGGCCAGGTCAGGATCTAGGCCAAGAAAAAAGGCTTGGCTAGGCACATACGAAGGCTGGACTTTAGAAAAGCACCAGGAAGGAGGACATCAACAAAACCGTCAGTTTTCAGGCATAAATTGGCATTAGACTATTTACATCTCTCCTCCTATATAGAGAGAGTCAACGACATTACACACCAGAATGTGTCAGCCCAATGGTCACATCTTCCAACTCTCCCCCTCAAGTTGAGCTCATACACTAATCAAGTCTAACTTAGATTATGCCATATGGAACTCTGATAAGAGTACTCTGGTGAAGATGTCAACAGATTGATTATGACAGATAATATATAGTATACAAATGATATTGGCTTAAACTTTCTCTTCCATAGACTTGGTACATTTGTAGAAGTCATGATTAAAAGCAACATGAGTAGCATCAAGATTGTCAAAAACCATGTACGAGGGTAATGAACTTTGGAGTCCCAAGTCATGGAATACAATTTTATCAAGCTAATTTACATATGCTAAATTTTATCAAGATTGTCATACCACTACATACAACTTATATGCTAAATTGAGCTACAATCATATTATTTTACTTTTTTATATTGAATGAATCACAGTTGAATGAAATTTTAAGCTTTTCAAATCATAACAATTTATTAAGTGTGAGAGGATATGAATCTATGATCCTGGATGTTAACATAGTTTCAACCAGCAATGGAGGCAGTGTTCCCAATGATTTAATGAGTAAAATTAGTCTTGCCATTTGTAGAATTTCCCATATGATAAATAGCTCCATAATTAACAGTTTATATATAATTATTTGATAGTGAAGGGAAAAAAGATGGAAATTACATCATATATGGAAGAAGAGTGAGACTCTAAAGTTTTTTGTTGATCTATGATACCGATTTACTGATTTTTTTGGGGTAAGTTTAATTGTATCATGGAGAAAGTATTTTTCATTAAAATGTAGGTACTTTGTGATTCTTATCACTGTTGGTGAATTTTTTTCTTCAATTGATGATAAAAAATCTCATAATGCTCTTTGTTGTGGCCAGACTTAGTAGAATGATCATAATGAGACCTTTTCTTTGGCCTTTAGAAGAGCGATAATATTTTTCAATTATTTTTATTTGATATCTCTTGTTGTGTATCATAAATAGAGTGGATTCAAAATGTAACTTTAAAATAGAGTTGAGATTGACTAAAAGTTGGACAATCTTGTCCTGCTCTAGTTATTATTGAAGGATGTTCAAATATACTGAAAAGTTGATTAAGATTTACTTCATCTCACATGCTCTTGTTTCTCTCAAGATGTCTAGTAAAGAACTGTCTCTTCATTAGCAATCATCTATCTCCTATTTAATTGGAAGATGGGAGTAGCATCATTCTCATGGGCGTATAAATTGTTAAGTAAATCTCAAGAGTTCTTTGTTGTACTGGAGAATGTGGACATTTTTACAATTTTTAGATTTGTAGAACTCAGAAGCCCAAACCCAAATTCTTGATCATGAAATCGCCCTTCTTCATCCTAGGAATCATCTAAATTTGGCGCTGTCTTACCCTCATTGATGTTTCCCCAACTTTGATCTTCCGCATAGGAATAGTGATATTGCACATGAGCAAGGAATATATATACTGTTGGGTCCATTCAATAGGGTTGATGCAATGCAAGTCTCATGTTCAGAGTAGTGCCATCAGCCATGTGAAAAAATAGCAAGGACTAGGAAGGTATTCATGCTACCAGGCAGGGCTCAAAGAGAGTTGGCCTAACTCCTTTAAGGGAAAACATGCACATCATCTTATTTACATCTCTCCCTCTTGTATTAATCTAGAGAGAGAGAGAGAGAGAGAGAGAGAGAGAGAGAGAGCCGGGCTCATACCAGGCAAGAATTAACCCGTTGATACCCTTAGATTTTACATCATCCGTATTTTAATATGCATTTGGTACTTGACTTGTCACCTGTCATCTAAGATCTTGAGTTCAGTCAGATTTTATGCCTTAACCTGCTTGTTCATCTCTCAAAATTTCCCAAGTCTTCATAGTCTTGATGCTGATTATTAAGTTGACTACCCAACAAGAAATCATAGGAAAACTTTGGGAAATACCACTCGTTGGCAAATGAACGGTGTAAAAGACCTCGATAATGTTGAGTTTCTAAACATATATACGACCAAATTTCGCCGAGCAACGCGAGTGGAATGAAAACAAAATTGGAGTTTTGTCTGCGGGTGGAATTCTGGGATGTGAACGGGGTCGTATCAGACGCCGGGGGCGGCTGTGATAACGGCGAGGTCGCCATCGGAGAACAGGGAGGCTGATAGCGAGCTCCCCGGATCCGATAATGTGGGCTTTCCGTGTCTGAGGAAGGGGGAGGCAATCGACGGCGGGGGCAGTGCCAGTTATCACGCAGAGGCAGAATGTTCGGCGAAGGAGGGAGCGGCGCCGCCGGGGCCAAGTTAGATGCTCGACGTCAGTCGAGTCCTCTCACCCGCCTACGGAAATACAAGTCGATCCTACCAACCTTCGGAAAGTAAAAATTAACAGGGCTACTCTAAATCTGGGGTTTAGCTAGGCTTTAGCACCCTTAATATGGAGGAACGAGAACCTGGCGCAGAACCCACATTCGCGAAAGAAGAGAACACCAGGATCCATTAGTGTTCTTCTGTCTTCTTGGTGGCTAGCCAGGGCAGCTGAGTGTTGTGCTTCCAAAGCTCTCTATCTACACCAGATTTCCATGCCCTCCCATTAGGGAAGAAGAGAGCGTCGGGACGGTACTACGGGCTCCAGTATTGCCAAACGCTCCGGACTAATGGTGGGTTTTAGTCAACTTTTCACATCAGGACCACCGTTGCTACATGGACTTTCTCTAGTACGAAATCTACACTCGGAAAACTGTCCACAATTGCTGCTACGCCATATGATGAACTTACTGCTAAAAAATAACTATTTTTTCTTACCCTTTGGGAGATCAATTCATCCGTCAACGGACGTGGGGTTGTCTATTTTAAGTGTTCATCCAATGGCCATGGAGAAATTCGAGGAGACGGATTAGACCGAGGCGTGTTCGTTCTTGGGAGATGATCTAACAGCCAATCGCTGTGGTTGTTCCAGAGAAAGTTGATGATGTCTTTATCAAAAGTTGAGCTCTCTACTTACTAGATAGAATCAGTCTTCTCCGCCCATAAAACCCCCAGCCGGGGGTCCACTGGCCACAGCAATTAATGCGAGGGACTGCTCACCAAGGCTCCCCAGGAGCTCAGTTAATCTAGTGGCGCCCCTGCCTCCACTGACTGCGGCGCTTTTTTCTAATCACTGGCGGTGCATTTTTGCTGTGACCCACAAGCTCTTACCTCCGTTGCTTTCGCTCCTTCTCTCCTTCCACCCCCGGGCCGCAAAGGAGTGGCCGCCGCCGCGTCGCCATGTGAGTTCCATCCTCCTCTGCTTCCGCAACAGTTCTTTTTAACCTCCCCCCATGTTAGCTACCTCAAATCACATCAGATCGATACTAACGGCAGACCACCATGTCGCCTAAAGTCAGTCCGAACCCATCAGAACTCACAGACTCACCCGATTCATATGAGACTATCGACATGGGTTATCCACTGAGAACCATGTGACCATCTGCCCATGATCCTATGACTCACCCAGAAGAGCTGGAATACAATAGATAAACGAGGAAATTATTATGGGTCGTCCTTGCAACTTCAGATTTTGAGAACTACTTAGATTTACCATGAAAACAATGCTACCATCTGTTCCTAATCGTATGATTCAACCAGAGCTGGAACACAGCAGATCTCTGGACTGTGATTCTTATGATCTATCATTTATAAAACATATGGTCAGAATCCACGATGATAGGTCGAGCATGATCCTGTGATTCAGTCAGAGGAAGAACGCAGTAGATCTCCAGACAGCAATTATTCTGGGTCATCCCCAGAATTCTAGATCATAAAACAGCAAATATCTACTTACGGAGCCATTAGACTATGTGTTCATAATTATATGGCTCAACCAGAGCCGGGTCATGTAGTTAATCTCCAGACTGCAATTATTATCATCTATATCCATTATAAAACATCTGGCCAGAATTCCAGATTATAGAACTATTTAGACTTACAGCCATGCAGGGTTCTTCAGTGGTGTGACGACTGCCTTCACCTGGAGGTAATTCCTGAGGCTGTGGATCCCCTTCTCCCTTCCCTGCCCGCTCATCTTGAACCCGCCGAAGGGGATGGCGGCATCAAAGACGTCGAAGCAGTTGATCCAGATGGTCCCCTGCCGCAGAGCCCGGGTCAGGGTGTTCGCCGTGTCGAGGTTGTTGGTGAAGATCCCAGCAGCAAGCCCATAGCGGGTTGCATTGGCCCGGCGAACTACCTCATCAAGGTCTCTGGATGGAGATGGCACGGCATTGAGAGTGAGGACATGGAAAAACGAGCTAAGACCATGAGACCCATATGGTTTAAAGCTCACTTGAACTTCAGGATTGACTGCACTGGTCCGAAGATCTCGTCCTTCGCAATCAGCATGTCATCCTGGTTGTTGATAACAAGTTTCATGAGGTAACTGCTTTAAGATGAAGGAAGGTGTTAGAAAGCTGGTGTAGAGAAGAGTGAGGAGTTTCATTACCTTCACATCTGAGAACACAGTGGGTTGGATGTAGTAGCCCTTGGTGCCAAATCTGTCACCTCCTGCTTCGAGGGTGGCTCCACTGTCGAGTCCAGATCTTATGTAGTGCATGATCTTGTTGAACTGCTCCTCGTCGATCTGAATTTTGTGAAGCAATAGTCGCAGGAGATGATTAAAGATGAGGCAGGGTGGGCCCAGAGAGGGCAGAAAAATGAATATCAGGCTCCTCTAGGTGTTTTGTTTAGTTGATTGGTTTGCATTTGATGGGCATGAAGAGACATCTATCAGGGGGAGCACATGAAGAACTGATTCTAGATACCTTAAACCTTTTCTAATTTTAGTTCTTGCGCACAATGAAAGATAGTTTGATGGTACCATTTCCTTGTCTTGAAGATTTCTTGGAAATAAAGTCTCACATATTCCTCCTCACACAAAACATTTGGAAAAAATGTCCTTGCACTTAAGAACTATAGCTAGCGGCAGATTTCACTATTGGTTTCTCACTGGCTATCATATGAAAATCGCACCACCGTCGTAACTCACTCAGAGTAGAAGCCCCTATTGTGATTAATTGTATTAATGGACTGAAATCCTAACTAATAAGCTTGGAAACATGTGGCGCTTTTAGGGGACCACGTGGAGGACATGTGTGCTACACTTCTCACTATCCACTAAGAGAGGTGCATATTCTACTGGGAGCTTCCTTGTTTTATTTTCATCCGTTAGACATAATTACGGATAATTTGGAGATACAAGTCAAACAGATGCATATGGAACCACCAGGTGCTCTTGAAATTTGTGCAATTCAGAGAAGACAACCATGATGGAAGACAAAGGTTATGTGAGACATGGATATTCATCCTACAACCAAAAGAAAGAAATTTGCATTCAGTATACCTGTGGACCTTGTTCAACACCCTTTTTGAAGGGGTCACCAACAACACGCCTTAATGCACGAGCTTTCGATTTCTCTAGAAATTCATCATACACTTTTTCATGCACAAAAGTTCGAGATCCAGCACAACAGCATTGACCCTGTCGAAAACTCCACCTTAGCTTGCAGCAAACTATTTTATGAAAATTTGATTCCTCCATATTCTGAAGGAGATTTTGATTGCCATGGACTCTCACCTGGTTGAAGAACAAAGCAAAATGTGCCATCTCAACAGCCTTGTCAACGTCTGCATCTTCGCAGACAATGAAAGGGGATTTTCCTCCAAGTTCTAGAGTCACTGGCTTCAGATTGCTTCTTGCAGCCAACTCAAGAACAATCTTACCAGTGTCCGTCGATCCAGTAAAAGCAAGCTGACATCACGGCAATAAGGAAGAAGAAATAAAAGTTGTTGCATATGGAGCTTTAGTAAAACACCATTGGCTAAATGGCTGTGAAGGAAGGCGACGGAGGAAACTGTGGAACGTGTAAAAAATTTCAATGTTGGTCCATGAAACTTGTATTTTTGTCCACTTAGTTCATCTGGAAAAGAAAATTTCGATTTCTTGGTTTTAAAGGCGATCATTGTTGAACTACTCGTAAAAAGTCAGTGGACAGGCTGAACATATTGAGATCTCAAATAGATTTTTCCAAGGATTTTTTTAGTATTAAGTGGGAAACTTTATAGATACACGGCATTGTGTATTTCAAATACGAGAATGAAGTGAAGGCCTTCGATGGGGATATTCACTCCGGAAGGAATGCCATGGTACTCAGTTATCTTATCTGTCTCTCCAACTCCCAGGGACCTTCCGAAATTTTTTCGTTCAAATAAAAGGATTAAGGGGATTATATTAACAAACATGATTGATTACAAAAAGACAGCAAAGCGGGAGTCAGAAGTTCATTCTCTATACAGTTTGAAGTCATTGATCTTTCAATCAATGGAAGTCAGAGACCAGTGGGTTATATGGTTGGGCGAAAGTCCTATGAAAATCTACATCTTTCTAACATGTGATAGATTTGGAAATGTTGTCTAGATATGCCGATGCATAGTCTTTCCGGTGCCATTTTGTAGAAAATGTAGTTTATAAGGTTATAAACTATCATTGAGTCGATTGGGAAGCTGATGGATAAAATCTTGGATCAAAATTTCCGACAGCATCAGCTAGATGGTATCTATGACTTCATGTGACAATAGCCACCTTGTGCTGTGAATGACGAATGCAATTGCTGAGTGAATTTCCTGCTACTCACTGGTGAATTTGCGAGGGAAGAAATAAGAACATCTTCAAGCCGGACACCTTAATAACCTGTATGTCTCACCTTTGGTCGTAGAAATTATTGAGATTTTAAGTCGAGATTAAGCAAGAAAATAGTCTTGAGAATTATTTCTCTGCATGTTGAACTTCGAAGGAAGAAAAAAATTCTAACATGATTGAGGGGGACATAGTGTAAATGGTGTTACATAACACAGAAATATGATTAATTGCCACTTATGTGGTACGGTTTGCGTTTGCAGATAATGAACGAAATCGTTTAAAGGTGGCTGCTGGTTGTCTCTCATAAGATACCTTGTCAACATCCATGTGAGTAGCGAGGGATGCGCCAGCAGTTGGGCCAAATCCAGACACTACATTTAAGACACCAGGTGGAAGCCCAGCCTGTAAACACGAACGCATGTCAGATACAAGTCATGCCACAGAGGATAGACTTTCCTATTTATGCAATATTAAATATATCATGACAGAAATATAGAGGAAAAAATACATCTCTGTCATGTACACAAAAATAGATATCAAAAGCTAATAATCAAGTAGAAAGATCCATTTTATACTATTCACTATTTGTATCAGATTTCTGTGACGATGAAGCCTGTTCATCTGCACTCTTATTTTCGAACTGACCAAAAAATATTGTGCAACGATGTACATAACAGTTCTTCAGGGAAAATTTCCCTGGTGGCCTTTTCAAGAGGCTTCACACCGATAGGCTGGCAGTTACTATGAAATACCCTCAAGCATATTTAAATTCGCTGCATTATTTTTATTCAATGTATTTCATTTATATTTCTTTAGTTATTTTACGGTGTTGTACTTACCAACTTCTGACAAACATTTCTCCTGTAAGAGATTTTACCTTTCTGTGCCACAAATAATATGTTTCTGAAGTGAGGTGTGCCACCATAATAATCAGAAGGGATAAAAAGTGTTTTGCATTTAAATAACAACCCATTTATGTAAACCATGTTAACCCTCTTTATTGGTAACACGTGGCACAAAAATAATCAAGCACTCAATGATGCCTTTGTACCACACAGTTCATAGCCATGGTTTCGATTTGAAATATAGATAGGAATGGAAATCCCTACCTCAAGAGCTAGCCTTGCCACATACAGTGCAGAGAGAGGAGTCTGCTCCGCAGTCTTTAGTACAATAGTATTTCCACATGCCAATGCAGGGCCGACTTTCCAAGCAAACATCAGTAGTGGAAAATTCCAGGGGATAATCTGCCCAGCAACACCGTAAGGCTCATGTAGCACTTGAACATGATGTGCTCCATCAGCTTGAGCCGTAAGTCCATGGATTTTGTCTGCCCAACCTGAAACGCCATAAAATAACATTTTTTCATTAGGTTTTCATTTCCTTTTTGGGCGCACACTAAACTGTTTCTTTCTTTTGCGGTAGGGATGGCTTGCCAGCATAGTATCGAATCAGGCGAGCAAGCATGGGTATTTCTACTGACACAGCTTGTTGATACGGCTTCCCATTGTCCCAAGTCTCAAGTGCTGCGATTTCATCATTGTGTTTTTCAATCAAATCCGCAAAGCGGTAAAGTATCATGGACCTTTTCTGGGAAATGGCACCAGCAGAGTATGAGGAAATATCATTTAAATGCATGATTTATATTAATATATATTAGCAAGAAACCAAGGATGTTTACATAGGGAGACATTTTCGGCCATGGTCCCTCATCGAATGCCTTGCGGGCAGCGATCACAGCCCGGTTGATATCTTCAGCTTCGCCCTCAGCAACATGGGCTATAACCTCTCCTGTCCTAGGATCCAGGGTAGGGAATGTCTTCCCTGGGAAGAAAACGTGCAGAATAAGAAAATTTTGATAGTAATAATAATAATGATTGGGTGAGCATGAGGACTCCACATGGACAGAAATAAAGAGTCAACGCGAGAAAAGATACCTGATGCTGAATCAACAAATTTGCCGTTGATTAAGAGCTGTGTGTGTTTCACTTCGACCGGGGGCGTGATAGGCTCTTCTGCAGCAACGGCAGAAGTACCGAACAGCCTGCGGATTCCTAATGTTGCAGCAGCAGTTCCTCTGTCTGAGAGACAGAAAAACATAAAATTCAGAAAAGAAAATAAATCTCCGGGATAAATTTTCACACAATTTAAAAGCCTTTTTAAAGGATAATCCACTCATGGGAGCATTATAAGCATTCGTCCAGTTCATCTCATTGCAGTTCCGTCGTAAATTCATGATCTTAGTTACAACAGAAGAATACACTCGCCCTTACAATCACCTTTTCCTTTGGCGAAATCCCCTCAACACGGTGGTCAAGGTGTTTTCCAATCTAATTCCCAAGTTGTCTAAGAATTATCCATCTCTCCAGGATTAAGCGGCCAGAACCAGGTCGACGTGGTGAGTCAACGACAGGGGGAAGGGTCGTACCACAGATCGGACTCGAGGAAAATACTTCTCCACGCGGCAATTACTCCATCCAAATTCTACGAGATGGTAGCTCTACATATCATATTAAAAGTACTTTGAACCTTTGAACCATGATTTTATACTAATACCCGGCTAAAAGAAAAGTAGACAAAAAATAAAGATGCCGTTTCCGCCTTTTCCCTAAGATACAGAGAATCCGGCAGTGATAGTAAAGAAGGGTCGCCGATTCCAAAGACGATTCGATTATTAATTGACCCCACACAGAGACGGAGGACAGAAACTACAGAACATTTATTCCGATCACAGGCGGGTGAAAAGTCAAGAACAGAGTATATACCAAGCTGACACAGGGGCACCCCAGCTCGGTGGAGAGGAAGAGCCGCTGACGGCGGAGCGATGGAACGATACAGGAGAGATGAGATCCTCCGCGCTGCCCGCCCCGCCATTTCGCTTCACGTACACTCGATCTCCGGTGTGCCGAATTAAATCCTTCCCTCTTGGGACCCGCCTCCACCCAGCACGACTGAAAATAGTTCTACAGCTTATCCTTGACAATCTCGTCCTGTCTGCGTAGCATAGGACATATATCTCGAGACCATTTATGACACCCGAGACGGCATGACTTGCGCCCACACCCCAACAACTCTCTCTCTCTCCCTCTCCCTCTCCCCTGCAAATTTCCACGACTGAGATCCCACCAGATCGGGATGGACGAGAAGATGAGGTCGAACCGATTTAGAAGCCCCTACCGCGTGCCTCGTGGCGTTTGGACCAACGACCATCTCTTTCTAAAGGGTTTGTCTATAATTATCCAATAAGGGTATGTACACCATTTGAAGATAGTAGGGCACTAAATTGATGCCTCCTCGTGTCTCACTCTTAAAGGATAAGGCCGAGCGTCCATCTGAGTCGCCGGATATAGAAACCACAGATCGTCACCATCTACGCGGTGAGGCTCATGGGGCACGCGCGTAATCACGTGATCCCAATATTTTTTTCCTCAAATAACTTAAATAATTGAGCAAGATAATTGAAAGTGCATTATTGACTGATGGTATATCCGTAAATTTCCGCAGTTTTTAATGGCCAATGTGCTAGAAGACGATCTAGGCCTCGAACATTGATGGGACGGTCAGTGGTCATGGTCCGTGGACATCCCTCATATCAACATATTTTCAAAGTACCCTAAATTTGTGAAAAGTTCCACCATCTTTAGGGAATTTTTGTGGTGTTGACTTTCAATGGGCTTTGTGAGTCTATATTTTTGACATTGTAATTTCCTTGACATGGATGTTGAGGGCCTGTCAAATTTCTGGCTTTATTAAAAAAATAAAAATATTGGTGAAAATTATATCATATTTTTAACAAAGTCCATGTTGATTGTGGGTTATCAAGTTTTGGGCATATCATTTAATAAGAAACTCTTTGTATATCAACTTGATCTGATATGTTTGGTGTATTTTAACTTTTCCTTTCATGAGTGAACTGGTTTTCTTCCTATATCTTAGTGTTTATAATAAAGGGGTAGTAGACTCAGAGGGAGATGGGACCAATGGACAAAGTAGATGTAAGGACATGGAGAGGGGATTAGTGGGGTGAGGAGAGAGAGAGAGAGAGAGAGAGAGAGAGATACCTACATTGTACTTGGGAGGGTTAGGTCATGATACCTACATTGTAGCTAGTTGGCCATGCCATAATCATGTAAGTATGATTAAATAGATGTAATAATCTATCTATATATATTAATATTTCAAAAACAAAGACAATGAATAAAGAGTGAAAATAAATCTCAAAAATATATTCTTTATAATTATTATTTTTATCTATTTTATTAAGCTATATTTTAGCTAGAAAGGTGACAGCTAATGGTCTAATTCCTAGCTAATAGCAGCCACAGAAAACAACCATTTGATGTCCCAAAACCCAACCAATGAAAGAGAGACTTTGCCTCACACTAAAGGGGTGAAGAAGAGGGAGAGACACAACATTCATGTTTGCAGTTCAAATCCTTCAATATCAATTTATTGAGAAATTTAGAAAGAGGAAAAAATCAACCACCACAAAACATAATTAAGATAAATTCAATCGCCAAGGTCTAGAGTTGCAAAAATAGTGAAAGAAAGTACAAATGATGAAAACTTCTTGAAACTGCAACAATTTATGGTGTTGTCATATGCTTAAACCTCAAATTACATTTGCACATAGGTTCAACATCACCTTGATTATATGGTGGTCTAGAGCAATTAAAGCTAGTGCCATTAAAAATGATAATATCACGATTACTATTTAGTTAAATGGAACTATTAAAGCCAATGGATCCTTGAGAGAAATGAGTATACTTGACTTAGGTTCAATAGTGCTTCAATTATTATATCGTGTGTAAGAGCCTTTAAACCTAGCACAAGAGTGATAGCATTGCGGATGCCATTTAATAAAGATGGGAGTGACAACATCTTAATTGTTGTTTTATAAATTAGAGCTAGAAACGTTGAGTATTTTCCTTCCAAGGAATCTGATTAGTGGAATCATTTCCTTCAAAGCTCTAGATAGTCTAATAGCCCAATGAACTATTTGGTTCCAAAGTCCATGAGTATCTATATGTAATCCTTCTATAAGATTAGTGGAAACGTAATAAGCATGTCTATTGAGATGATATATGTTGGCTAAGGGGCCATATCACTCTAAATTTTTTCTGTGTAGTTCATTTATGTTCATTGTATTCTTCCAAATCACTTTAGATAGTTATCTCCACCACATTGAATTAAAATAATTAATCTAATTCACTTAGTTGGGTTATGTATTATAATCATGTACTTAGTCATGTACTTATCTTTAGTAAATAATGTTTTCATTATGTAACACACAATTTAAAAACATACAACTGATTTCTTTGTTCATTAAGTTAGAAGGTTAATACCTACATATTGCAACCAACACAATTAAGACATCCTCAAGTCCTCCAAATAAGACATTACATAGATCGCTAGAAACATAATTGTTTTGCCCCTCCTACATTCAATACACAAAGAGTCCATGACTTTTATCTATCCTTGTATTTTAAAACTAATATAAATAGATTCAATGGAAAACATTAGTAGCTTCATAATCTTATCTAATCAAATATACATTTATTTCCATATTGTCAGCAATATGAGTGCATCAGAGTCCATGTAAATCAAATAGTTTGACTTTTATAATGATACAAATCATAACGCTAATAATTTAAACAAATCATAAGAATAGTCTCTTCAAACTTTATATGAAGCTACCATTATTTTGAAAATGGTATGGTACTCTCTCAAAGCTCTTGATATTTTTACTAATGGATTTATATTACTATGTTACAAACTCTCTAGTAATATTTCTATTTTCTAAATTTTCTAGATATTTTTTTCACTATATTCTTTTTTTTATAGCAAGAAAGGAGTCAACTCAAGATAGAGAAAAGGTAAAGAAGGGGTGCTACAAAAAAATTTATGAAGAATGTTAAAAGACTTTAGTACCATTAAACTAACATTTAAGTGTCCCAATATTTGGAGATGTTTTTTTATCCATTTTTTGATTGAAAATCTCATAAAATCTGAAAAAAATGGTCACCACTTAAGGAACAGCCTACTCAATGCTCACATAAAGAAAAATCGTTAAAGGATCAACATCAATGAAAGTATGTCAAGCATTCAAGGCATGCTCTCTCTAGAAAACTCTTCCACCTCTATGGGCCAAAGAATTTACACCACAGAAGCTATGCATTGAATCTATAAGAGGATTCATTTGGTCTTATATATATGTTAAGTATTTTAAATTCTCATACAAATTTATAATTGTGAATCTAGAAGAGATTAGGTAAATGTTAAACTAGTTGACCTCATAAAGTAATATATCTAAAAGAGATTTGTTAGGTGTTAATCTATTTAGGTTTTTAGAGTTGTGAATCTAAAATATATGAGTTTTGTGCTAATTTATTTGAGCTCCTCATGTGATGAATCGCAAAAAAGTATCTATAGGGAACACTTGAGTGAGCTAAATTGTGAAATCTAATAGGAGTTAACTGAAATCTTGGTGTAAACAAATACTTATTGAAACTTAATGACAAGCGTTTTACAAAGTGAAGAAGACTATTTTTTGAGCTATAATTCAAGGAGTACAAGATCCATGGTAAATAAGATAAGTTCACTGTCTCTTCTTCTTTCAACCTCCTAAAAATCGATAGAGATACTTCATTTTCTAGAGGCTATGTATGACCTTGGGTTTAATTATCTCATAGATAGTATATACTTTGAACATAAATGCACCAAATTCACCTCTACTAGATCCAAAACATTACAAGCCTTGACTAAAACCTAGCCTTAATAGTTTTGGATTTTCCTTTTACTAGAAATTGCAAAAAAATTGACTCCTTCAATGGGTGGAAAATGACAAGATATAGTTTTTTTTCTACCAACCTTTTAATGAAAGGTATCTATTGTAGTAGTGTAGGAGTAAGTTTAAAACTCAAGGTTGAACTCATATTGTCTTCTATATGATGGCTTTAGAAGCCCAATGATTTTGATGATGATAATAACATACACATGATTAGAGTATAAAATGCTTGGCAATAGAAGTAAACCTCATATTAATCACACTTATTGGAAATGTGAAATAGCCAAACCAAGAGATGAATTATTATGTGCATATATGGAAAAATGTTTCTCTATGGTCGATTTGAAGCTTAATTAATCAAGAGAAACATATAACGGATTTCTTACTGGGTATGTGCTAAAACATAGGTCGGTGGGCTATCTAATGTGCATGCTAAGAGTAACAGATTATTCAGTTGTAACTTAATGGATCTATCTATTCCATTTTATGCTTTTTTGAGATATAAAGCATTCTCAACCCACTAAGTCAACAGATATTTATGAATTCTTGATGTTATTAATTTTAAGGTAATCAAGCAGAGAAGAAAGGCTTAACGAGTTGACAGAAGAAATGCGGCCGAAGAAAGAAGGGTTGAGAGCCCCGCCCATGTCGGTTCGCTGATTAACGGTCGACTGGTCCCGGTATAACCTGGCAAGGAACGGAACCCACTGGGAGAAACGGAACCGGTTCACCAATTCTTCTCCTCGCCGTTCGTCGGCGATCTTGGAGTTTAGGGGTCGCGGCCGCCGCATCGTCTGAAGAACTTGGAAGAATCCACCCGCTTTCTCTTTCTTGCCCTACCTCTGCCAGCGAGCACGCGTGGGGTCTCGTAGCGGTGCCGTGCCTTCTGTCGGCCGCTGCCATCTCGCGGGTGTGGCCTCCCCGCATCTTGCCCACGGTTTCATCCGGACTTAAAGCACCCGCTTGATCTTCAATAAATCGGCACACGGACGGTTTTGGGGCATCAGAGGAGTCTGTCCGCCCGTTCTTCTGGCTGGCCGTCATCTAACTTGAGCCGTGAACTCGACTATCTCACCCTAATTCGACAGTTGTGTGCTCTCGGGTATACGCCGGCAAGGTACGCGCATCCGACTCATCTATTGGTGGAATTACTCCGGGTGGAATAGCTTTTCTGGCTAATCCTTTCCCTCCTGCCTTCTATTTCCTCGAAACGACGAAATACAAACCCGTTTGAAGAACCGGTTGAGCCACTTTTTCGGACAAAAAGAGTCTTAATCCTACTTGAAATAGTTTCTTATGGTCCATCAATATTGTTTTACTTTGTCACTGCTGTTCTTAAAGTTAATCCAAGCACATCAGTTTGATGGGGGGAGGTTTACCGATTTGATTGGAGTGTCATTATCTTGCTTGACGTTTAAGCGTATGCTACGCCTCTTGCGGAACCATCGGCACCTAGCGTTTTGCTTATTCCTGGATCCTATTCACACCATCTTGTAACACGTTGTGCACGTCTTTCTGTCATTTAAACGACTTAAATTTATAACAATATCAAGCATCTAGTTTCATTTCGGTCATTGTTGAAGAAATTCTTCAAGTCTTATTAGTTTCATTCTAAATCTCTACTCTTTAATAATGGTCACCATTATGTATTTGTTTTTCAGATATCCTTGTAGGACATTGCAAGCTCTCCTCTTCAATAACTCTGCCAAAGGAAACGTGTAGGATCTAGAAAATGGTGTGTAATCTTTTTCAGTTTTTGAATGCTGTTAATCTCTTTTGGCGTTTGCATCAGATGAAAAAATACTCTCTTTTTGAAAATAATAATTACCTAATTTTTTGTATGTTAGCAGATTTTCATGCCTGATGTTGGGAACAAATGTCTCTATGTATTTGATTCTTATGATCAATTGATGCTTGCTCGTTTTCTGTGTTATCTAGTATTTTGTTAAACTTTTGATTTGATGTTGGGAAGATGAACAACAAAAATGTTTAGATCTCTGATGCACATATTTCACCCTACGTCCACCCTGACGCTCAAGCCATGGATTGAGCCTTGGAATCGTGTACTATGACAGAAGATCTTATAATCTAGAGACCTATGAAAATGTTCCACCTGACATGAAATGACCTGAATATTGTACCTGGGTCAAGCTCACTAGTCTCCCATCCAGTGGGTTTCATTGTACCTGTCTATTGGGGATTTTAAAGTTGTCATTTATCTTATTGATTTATTGAAGCCTAAATATTTTGCCTTTCTGAACATGACATTGATCTTTTTGCAGACTTTTATTTGGCCATTTGTGAAATTCTGAATGGGCTGCGTTTGTTTTACTTGCTTGGTTCAATTTCTTGTCAAATCATTTGCTAAGGCTTGGTGCTTTATTTTCTTCTGTTTTATGCTTCTTCTTTTTTTGTGCGCCAGCTGCTGGAGAGTCAGATATCTAGTTCTTTTTCTCATTATTCTTATCTTTTTCTGCAATCAGGCGACTCTCAATGATTCTTTCTTAGCTGACCTTGATGAGCTATCTGACAATGAGGATCATATAACTGTGAGTTTTTGCTTACGTTTATATCACCTCTTTTGATGGTGTTATCTGTGTAAGCTGATTTTACTATCTGTTGGTTGCAATGCTTGTGGCCTCTTCTTCACATCTGAAATTCTCCTCTAGGATGATGTGGACAATGAGTTGGGAGATATGGAAGAAGATATTGATGGTGACATGGCAGATATTGACGCTCTTAACTATGATGACTTGGATAGTGTCTCAAAATTGCAGATGACTCAACGCTACATCGAAATTATGCAAGTAAGTGTGTTAAAAATATGTTCTATAAAGTATTGCATTATTTTTTGAAACTTCTCAGGTGATTCGATTTTCTTTGTTGCTATTTGTCCATTTCCGGTTCCAATTTTTTTAAAAACTTTTTTCATATATATGCTGCATCACATCAAAATTCACTTTTTTCTTCAAAGGACAGTGGTACTTTTCTTTATTTATTTTTTAGTTACAAATACATTTTGCATTCGTAAATCTCATGAAATGAGATATATTTTTCCTTGCAGAAAGTTGAAGACGCTCTCCAAAAAGAGCAGGATGTCCCAAGCTATGGAATGGCGTTAGAAGATGATCCTGAATATCAGTTAATTGTTGATTGCAATGCTCTTTCCGTTGACATTGAAAATGAGATTATTATTATTCATAATTTCATTCGTGATAATTATCGTTTGAAGTTCCCTGAGCTTGAATCTCTTGTACATCACCCAGTTGATTATGCTCGGGTTGTGAAGAAAATTGGGAATGAAGTGGACCTTACCTTAGTGGATCTTGAGGGACTTCTTCCATCAGCTATTATTATGGTCGTCTCTGTGACAGCATCAACTACAAGTGGTAAACCACTTCCAGAAGAAAACCTCAAGAAGACAATTGAAGCATGTGATCGAGCTCTTACTCTTGATTTGGACAAAAAGAAAGTCCTTGATTTCGTTGAGAGTAGAATGGGTTACATTGCACCAAATCTATCTGCTATTGTTGGGAGTGCAGTTGCCGCAAAGCTCATGGGAACTGCTGGTGGTCTTTCAGCATTGGCCAAAATGCCAGCATGTAATGTTCAGCTACTAGGTGCAAAGAAGAAAAATCTTGCTGGATTCTCGACAGCAACCTCCCAATTTCGCGTAGGTTATCTTGAACAGACTGAGGTTTTTCAAAGCACCCCTCCATCTTTGAGAATTCGTGCATGTCGGTTACTAGCTGCAAAGTCAACTCTTGCTGCAAGAGTTGATTCTACCAGAGGGGATCCCACAGGCAAGACTGGGAGGGATCTGCGGGAGGAAGTTCGTAAGAAGATTGAGAAATGGCAAGAACCACCCCCTGCAAAGCAGCCCAAACCTCTTCCAGTTCCAGATTCAGAACCTAAAAAGAAGAGAGGTGGTCGTCGTTTGAGAAAAATGAAAGAAAGGTATGTCTCATTTATTCATCAAAGAGCGTGGCTTTCTACCTTTCTCTGATGTTCATGCTGGTTTTGTAAGGCATTCTTGCAGATTTTGTGTTTTACTTCTCTTTGGTTTTTGCTATTTTTGTTTTCAGGTATGCAGTGACAGATATGAGGAAGTTGGCCAATAGAATGCTGTTTGGAATACCAGAAGAGAGCTCTCTAGGTTAGTTTACACCTCTGCTTCTTTTTGCAGTAAGCAAATTGTCTAGTAATTTCTTGTTCAACATTCTTAGGATTAGGAAAAATAGTAACGATCAGAGTAAGATGTTGAATGGTGTTCTTAAATATTTAATTATCCAGAGTCATTATGTACAGAAAATGTTTATTATTTTATGGTATATCTCGGTTTAGGACAATATAGTATTATATTTAATTACTGTTTTACTTGGACCACATAGCAAGATCATCTTGGAATCAGGTGGGGCTGTGCTCAATGCATCATCTCCTTGATGTTTTTCTTCACTCCAATCTCCTTCCGGAATCCGTCTTAATGTTTCACCCCTCTTTGGCAACAGAGGTATAATTTAAACGCATAATTATTTTCATAAAATTGAGTCGGATCGCTATCAAAGATTATTATTTATGCTTTCATAATGATGACCGCATGCTTCCCACTCTGCAAAGCTTTTGTTATCCCTTGGGAGCAATTCATGCCCATAAGTGCTCATGTTTACATCTTGAGATCATTACCATATATGGATCCCAGGAAGCCAAATTTCTGCTTCCTATTTTCCTGACGACCTCTTCCATCTATGTCTTAGGGGACGGCTTGGGGGAAGGTTATGGCATGCTTGGCCAGGCAGGGAGTGGAAAGCTCCGTGTGTCAGCTGCTCAGAGCAAGCTGGCCTCTAAAGCCTCCAAAAGGTGTTCAATCCCGTTTCTTTTTCTTGTGCAACTGGCATCGATTATCTTTCCATTCTATTATATGTATAGATATTATTTTATTTTGTATATAGATATTATCATTTTCTTGACCTCCACGGATTTTATTTCTTCATGAATGCTCTTTCGTGGAAGCAAATGGCTCATCCTCATACTGGCTGGTCTCATTAATTCCTCAGGTTCAAAGAGAAGCTCTATGGAAGCAGTGGTGCTACGTCAGGGCTGACATCAAGCCTAGCCTTTACTCCTGTTCAGGTCAGGATCCCCCCCTCTCTCTCTCTCTCTCTCTTTCTCTCTCTTCCTTTCTCCATCTCTCTCTATTTCCTCCCTCTCTTTCTGGGTTCTTGTCCAAGCACGGTCAAGCTCTCTGGTTTTCTTTATTCACTGCATTTCTCATCAGCCTTGACCTAAGTTGGTGGAGATATATATATATATATATATTTATGTGGATTACATCTAAGTTGAACCCACGAGAGAGACGTTTTGTATATTAGATGAGGAATCATACCGCATTATAGGAATCCATTCAGTGTGCTATGGTAATTGATAATGCATTCTCGTCCCGTTGTCATTATCAGGGGATTGAGCTGACGAACCCGCAAGCCCACGGGAGCCAGCTTGGCAGTGGAACTCAGAGCACCTACTTCTCAGAGACGGGGGCTTTTTCGAGAATAAAGAGGACGTAGCGCGGCTGTTGATTGCTATAAAAAGAGTCGCTTAACTGTCTGTCTGTGTTCACTGTTTGGTTCTGAGCAGGGGTTCTCTCTTCTTTATCGCTCTTCCTTCCACAGATGGCTTATTTCGGTTGATTTTCTACACTCTTATGTGCAATATTCCAAGTTCATATCCTCTCTCTCTCTCTCTGCCCAACTGTTTCTCTATCTCTCTCCCCCTTTCATGGGGGGAAATAAAAACCCAGAATTTGGAAAATACTAGATCTTTTATAAGATCAGTCAATGAATTGTTCTCAGATAAGAGAGAGAGAGAGAGAGAGAGAGAGAGAGCAAGAAATACGTAGAAACCATACGATCTGCCCATCACGTCACCGGCTCCAACGGAAGAAGACAAAACCAAAGATGCCGACGTAGGGGATAGCGTAAATACTGCTTAGCACCGAAGCAAAAGAGAAATGATGAATGTCCAGGCTTTTAGAGAACAATTCAGATCCTCTCTCCTTCGCCAGTGCTCACGAGCCGGGTCTTTTATTGAGAACGCATCTCCTACGTACGTGTTGAGATGTAATGAAGATACTGAAGCACCATCGTCGTCTTCTCTGGGATGGCCCGGTAGTTGCGGCCGCGGATCGTCGTCTTTCCCGGGATAGCCGGGCGGTTGCGGCGGCGATGCCTGGTTGAAACCCTAATCCAGATAAGACGTGGGTTGGTCACCCTTCGCTTTGTTGCTCGAGAACAGGGCTGTGCGTAGGTTCCAGTTATAAACGGACTCCCTCTTAAATTCGAAAGAGGGAGCCGAACCCAGCTACGAACGAACAGCAGCCGCCTACATCCCTTCGGTGGGCGCGAAAACCTACGCGCTCTTCTCCGTGGCCGCCACGTCTGGTCCCTGTGCAGCGCTCAGGGACACGTGAAATGGAAGAGAAACTTGTGGGGTCTGCGGCGGCGGCCGTCGAGGAGGCGCCCGTGAAGAGGCAGAAGTCGAGCGAGGAGGTGGTGGGAGAGACGGCGGGAGAGCTCGCACCGGGCATGTCCGCCATCATCCCCGGATGGTTTTCGGAGATCAGCCCCATGTGGCCTGGTGCGGCCTTCAATCGAACCTCTCCTAGTTCCGTTGATGTTGTCCCCTCGTTGTTCTTATCTCCTTCCCCTGGACCACTGTGGCTGCTCTTTCCTTCCTGTTTTATATTCCATTTCCGCTCTGTGCGACCTCCCACTCCAATGCATGTTCTGCCATATCCGATGCCATGCTTCTAGATAGCCTTTTCGTCATAACCTCTGAGACGCAATCGTCTTTCATGCATGTTTGGTTATCTGGGCAATCAAATTACATTTGCCTATACTGCTGCTGAATATGGGTGCCTCAGTTGTGTAAAAATTTAATCTTCTCATATTATTTTGTTATATACTGGTGACCTGCTCGGCTTATCCCTTCTACAATTTCAACTACTTTCTCCCTTAGCTTTTGGGCATGCTCGTGAGGTGAAGAACAGAGGAAGAAGTTGGTATGGGTTTGAAGATGATTGCTGAATCTTATTTAGGCTCTTCGAATGGAGTCCCCTTTATTTAAGATGTCGTACAATATAATGATCAGAGAAAGCCCGGGCTGTGGGAACATTATCATCCATTTGATCCATGTTCTTCTGTCGTCATGAACTGTTATATCGTTTTAGCATGGGGTTTCGTTCTTCCCTTCTTATGGTTTTGTTCAAAACTTGCAGGGGAGGCCCATTCTCTAAAGGTGGAGCAGATTTTGTTCCAAGGGAAGTCAGACTACCAGAATGTCGTGGTATTTCAGGTATTCCACTCTCTCCAGTCTGTCTGAAGTTATCCATCATTTTCTTTAATCCTGCATCGTATGCAAACTGGCTCATCGATCTGGATTTCATTTCAGTCGTCAACATATGGGAAGGTCCTCGTTTTGGATGGAGTAATTCAACTGACAGAGAGGGATGAGTGTGCTTACCAGGAAATGATCACTCACCTTCCCCTTTGCTCTATCCCAAATCCTAAAAAGGTGTGTTGAATAATATTAATGTACCTTGCTCGTCCTACTCTTCTTGAACCTTGCTATTTACCTCCCTTGAATTTACTTCCAACTCGACTTTGTCTGTTTCTGTGCCATGGAAGATTATTTATATTTGGGTCACTTTCGTGTTTCTTTTTTTGGGCATATGGGTAGCATGCATGATGGCAATCCTATCGACATGCTAGATGGTAGCAACCACACAGTCAAAAGTCTGTTTTGAGAAAGAATAATCACCTTCTCCTACGATATGAAATGTGTCTCAATTGATTTTATTTTTTCCTGCATCATATAAATTTAGTGTCTTTTTGCCAGTTTTTAGATTTAACAACTGGAATGATTTTTCTTTTTTGGTTCATAATTGCTTGCATTTGGTTACTGTTTGATATCCCTTCAAAAAGATGCCTCTGGGTTCACACTATCATCTTTATTATACTGTTTAATTTGTAATCCTTGGTTTTAAGTTTGAACATGAATGACAAGCATATCAGCAGACAGTTTTCTCTTTTCTAGGATCTTGCTGTCTTCGGTTTACCTTGTTCTTCGTTTATCTTGGAGATGAACTAATTCACGTTTCATTCTATCATTGTTGCTAATGGTCCTGTAATTAAACTATTGTTCATAATTCGGTGACCCATTTTATGAATTGGCAGAACTTGCCTAACGAAGGGCAAGGATCTTGATGGGATTTTAAGCTGTTTGTTCCTGTAAAGCGTCTTCTGATTAGATTTTCTTTTAGGTGCTGGTCATTGGAGGTGGTGATGGTGGGGTTCTGCGGGAAGTGGAACGGCATTCTTCTGTGGAGGAAATAGATATATGCGAAATCGATGCAATGGTTGTGGATGTGAGTAGAAAAAAACGAAAGACTTTGCATTATTTTGAATATTTGGTTGCTTTGACTCATTAGATCATGCCTGGGTTTAATTTCTTTTTTGGCATTTAAATTCCTCCTACTTCCCAGGTATCCAAGCAATTTTTTCCAAATGTGGCGGTTGGGTATGATGACCCTCGGGTCAACCTCCACATTGGTGATGGTAAGATTAAGTAGCTCAACTCAATTTTTTTCACCTTGATTTCCAATAAACTGAGCTTATTATTATTCCAACTCGTTGAATTTTATTTATTAAATATTTACCTTATTGACCGAATGTGTGAAACCCTATTTTTTTAAAAAAATAAAAGCCTCTGATTAGTGCATCCAATGTCCAGGTGTTGCCTTCCTCAAGAACGCTGCTGAAGGCTCGTACGACGCAATCATAGTTGATTCATCTGATCCCATTGGTGGGCTGGCCCTCTACATTGATCCCATCTAATCTGATACATTGATCTCTTGCATATAATTTATTTATTTTCCCTTTTGTGTATCAGGCCCGGCCCAAGAGCTCTTTGAGAAGCCGTTCTTTGAGTCCATTGCCCGGGCCCTCCGACCCGGTGGGGTCGTGTGCACTCAGGCGGAGAGCATCTGGCTCCACATGCACATCATCGAAGATATCGTCTCCAATTGCCGCCAGATCTTCAAAGGGTCTGTGAACTATGCCTGGACGACAGTGCCAACCTACCCGAGGTGTGTATAATCTTGTCAAACCTTGATGGGTGGGTTGACTTATTGTTTGTTTTGAAAGACCTAACTATAATTCCCTTGGAAAATGTGACAGCGGGGTTATTGGGTTCATGGTTTGCTCCACCGAGGGCCCACCAGTTGACTTCAGACACCCTCTGAATCCCATCGACGGTGATGAATCTAGAGGGCCCCTAAAGTTTTACAACGCCGAGGTGCTCCCTCTGAATTAACCCACAAAAAATATTGGATAAAGTTTTGATCTTTTTGAAAAAAAAAAGGTCTGATCTTTGATAAATTTCTGTATGTTCAGATTCATTCCGCCGCATTCTGCTTGCCCTCTTTTGCGAAGAGGGTCATAGCTCCGGAAACTAGTTGAGCTTCAAGAGAAGATGGCGAACTCCTGATTAGGAAGTATCTTAGGGCATCTGAATCAAGGCCCATGTAGTGATTGTCATGGGGAGGAGAAATCCAGACTGCCCAAGAACCCTAGAATAACTTATGATCTTGCTCAAGATCATCCGACCTCTGCAGTGTGCTGTGGGATTCCAGAGGAGGGAATTATTCTATCGATCATTTAGTTCTATGGTTTTCTCTTAATATTTCAAAACGACAGGTTCTGTCCTCTCTCTCTCTCCCTCTCTCTCTCTCGCTCTCGCTATATCTACCCCTCCTTTTCTCAAGCAGGTGCATGCTGATGGCTAGCTAGCCTGGAGCCGCTGCCCGTTGACTTTGAAGTTCTGTATGTTTTCGTAATTGTTTCTTTAAATCTTACAAAGTATTGAATAATAAATGGCCTCATGAAAAGGTTGACCCTCTTTTTCTGGGTCAGGATCTCTCTCTTCATATCTATATCTCGCTAACACTAGGGATCCGACCTTCTCATAATATAAAGGAGAAGATATGAACTGTCTATTAATAGAAAAATTATTAACGATGCGATTTATATTAATTATCTAGTTGCTCTACTTTATATTTAATTAATTAATGCAAAGACGAGTAAATTGGTCAATTAAAAAGGTATAATAATTTATTTTAGGTACTTGAAAGACGAATAGGTTTACATAATACGATTAGAAGATTTGATGTTTGACTTTCTTTCGTCATTGTTTAGTCAAATGCCCGTTTGGGTTAAGATTCTGCACTTTACATTGGTTCTAAGTTTAGCAATATAGTCAACTAGCATCGGATCTCTGGCTTTTGCGGGGACCACCTGGTGGGCCCGTGCGGGCTTCTTTCGGGACGATCGGATTCTGGGTTCCCCGAGGGAATTATTAAAAAAACAATTATAAATATTTTTTAAAATATTTTTATGGAGTGTCGGTAGTCGGTTGGTTATTACGACGAAGCTCCCAGATCCAAACGGGTCTCCCATCTCTCCTTCGGTAGTTCGGGTTACACCCGCCCATAGAGAGAGAGAAGCCCCCATCTCTGTCCTCCCTCCTTCCTTGCTAGGCTCCAACCGCCTCTCCCTCCTTCCCTTCCCCAATCGCCGGCAGGCTACCTGGTTGCTCTCCCCTGGGAGGTGTCGTCGCCGTCGTCTCATGCGCAGGGGTTCCCCGCGGAGCGAGAAACTGGAGGAAGGTAATGCCCCACAGGTTTCGTCTGTCAGATTTTGTCAGGGCGTTTGCAACGAGGGGGATGGTGGGAGGGGGAGGAGGGGTTGGGGGGTCAGATCTCGGCGGAAGAATGGGAGTCTCCGCCGGTGACCTGAGGGGTCAGAGATTCTAAACCGCCTGCGTGGCTACTGCCGTCGGGAACTGTTGTGATTGTCGTCTTCTCTGAAATGTGGCGGAGACTGCCATCGCGGTCGTCTCTGGAAGGTGTCTTTTCATGCGTAATCACTGAGAATTAGATGACAATTGGAGGGGAAAATGGGTATATTTTGCGTCGTTGAGCAGGGATGATCGTCGTTGCCGATGGAAGAAATGGTTTTCGGTGATTTGGGACCTCAATTCATGAAATGCGGATCAATCTTCCACTCGGCGCGGGACTGCCGCTTACCATGCGCTTGGTTTGATTGTGCACAGAAGAAGAGACAGAAGGTCTCGCAGACCTTTGCGTACAGAAGAAATCTGGTGGGCCTAACATCAAGTTTTGTGTGGCGGGGACCTAAAAATATCAATAGATGCAGGGGTAGGCGACGGTGGAGATATGCAATTTATAGTAAAGTCAATGACCTGGGTTCCTTTAACTTACTTGGGGATGTACGTCTACATCTCGTCATTCCTATCCAAACTAGATCCTCTTATAACATTTGCACTGGAATGTGTAAACTGTCGATTAGCCTGGGGAATAACTACTAGAATCAACATAATCAAGAAAAAAAAGTGTAGTAATGGCGGCAAAAAGTGTTCTTTGTTATTTTGGGTCCCCGATAGTCTCACCGGTCCAGATATTCCAATGTGTACGAAGTCTAGGAAGTCATTTTTATAAAATACATAAACAATGTGTCATCCTTTATTAGGGTAGTGCCCTATGATGATTATAAAATAGTTTTCTGAGGTCAATAACATCCCGTTGAATAATTAAAAACGATATAATACTTGCCTTGTATTCATGGTATCCAAACTGTCCACTTAGTCACAACTTGTGAATATTAAGCTTGAATTTTGTGTTTGGAAGTCTCGTGTTAAGAGAAAAGTCAGAAGTGAAGCCATTCTCATTCATTCTGAGGGTCATTCTGTCCAGTCAAAGGGTCCATGTGCAAATTTTTGGTTGTAGTTTGACTCGGTTTGTAATTTATTCTTGTTTAACCATTTTACTCCTTGTACACCAATATATGGCCTTTGTGCTTGGTTTAATGCAACAGTCGGTGTTAGAACTCCTTAATTTAAATGTAGAAGATAGTTCCATTCTGGTTCCTTTTCGAGATTTAGCTGCGAAATTCAGTGCAAGATTTGTGAAAGTTGAATGCAGAGTGGCCTTGTGTGAACAATACTGGCTGAAGATGTTGATGAGAAAAACTATATTTAGTAAACTTATTAGATGCTATGGTGCAGTAAGAGTAAAAAGTTCCAAAGAAAGAAGGGATATGAATTTTTTTCATTCGTTATATTCAGAAAATCTTGAATAGGAAATCATCAAATGATAAAAAGAAATAGACTGTGCAGCGTTTGCCTTGGATAAAAAGGCAGGTCGACTCTGATACCAGATGAATTAAAGTAGGTTGCGTTTCAAAAAAATTAAGCACATCCAATGCGTCTATTGTACTTCTGTGAGGAAAAGTGATCTCACTCTGAAGACTGAGAATTTCTAAAGTGGGTGGTAAACTCGTCCATGTCTGATTTCTCAAGACACATAATTGAATGGGTTTCTCGTATTCCTGCAGAAGATAGGCCTGCCAGAATTTCCAGAGCCATGGGTGTAAAGTAAATGAAATCGATTGATTTATAAGTCAATTGATGAAATCATGGAATACAGAAACAGATCTGGTTCCTGGACAGGTGGTGCAGCTCCAAGCTTTAGTCCAGATCGGGATCAGATCAGCCAAAATGTGTAGTCCAGGATAGAGATCAATTTGAATGCTCGTTCATATTTACCATAAGCTGTTGCTCGTAATTTGATGGCTTGGTACTGTTACCTTGGTTGATGCCTCTTACCTTGGTTATTGTCTTGGCTGCTGTTACCATAAGAACCTTGTTATTCTTTGTTTCTTGATGCGTCTTCGTGTATGGCCATAATGTTTTCGTACCTGAAGAAACTATCATCAATCACACTTCTCTCACATTATAAAAAAACCTTGGCTTTCCCTGCTGGGTACTTTGAACCAGGCGTGTTCTCTTATTTTAGTCGCATTTTATCTTATGTGACTGATGTATCCGTTCCAACTGGCAGTGGTTCCTATGGTCTCTTAAAAGCTTTGAGCTGAGGGCGACTTGAATAAGTGGTGGAAGGATGGCATCCTACGAAGATGAGGACCACACTCAGGATTACCTTTTTAAGATCGTTTTGATCGGTGACTCTGCTGTTGGGAAATCAAACTTGCTTGCAAGATTTGCTCGTGATGAGTTCTATTCGAATTCTAAGTCAACCATTGGAGTCGAGTTCCAAACACAAAAGATGGACATTGATGGCAAGGAAGTCAAAGCTCAGATATGGGACACTGCGGGTCAGGAACGATTCAGAGCTGTGACATCTGCATACTACCGAGGTGCTGTTGGGGCCTTGGTGGTGTATGATATCAGCAGGCGTCAGACTTTTGATAGCATCGGCAGATGGCTTAATGAACTCCACAGTAAGAGCTGTAACTTGCCTTCTGAGTCTTCTACTTATGTTTCAATGGGATTTCCTCAAATCAGACCGACAGTTTATTGTAAAAACCCCCTCTCTCTCTCTCTCTCTCTCTCTCTCATCAGTCCTTGCTCAATAATGACATGGGATCATCAAAATAAGTTGTTCTAGCATTTTCCAGCAACAGAATGTACCATGCAAGTCCTCCTTTTTAAAAGGGTGTTTACACTTTTGGGCAGCTCACTCAGATATGAACGTCGTTACGATTCTTGTGGGAAACAAGACCGATCTCCAGGATGCCAGGGAGGTCGGCACCGACGAAGGGAAGGCATTAGCTGAGGCTCATAGTCTGTTCTTCATGGAAACTTCTGCGCTGGATTCCTCCAATGTAAAAGCTGCCTTTGAGACTGTTGTAAAAGAGATCTACACCATCTTGAGTCGGAAGGTTATGATGTCCCAAGAGCACAGAAAGCAGGAGCAGCAGCCTCCTTGGGTAATGGGATGGGAAACTGTGATCTTACAGGGTGACACTGGAGAAGCCAATGGGACTTCAAGATATTGGTGCTGTTCTTAGCGATCTCTGAGAAGGCCGTTGGCCGCATGTGAGGTCTTCTTTCATCTCCCATCCCGTTTCTCTGTTCTCTTCTCTATTGTAAAGAAATATATGTGGGATTTACCTGCATCGATGAAATCTTTAAGTTATACAAGTGTTGTTTTCTCTGGTTTGAAGTGGGAATCCAGATATGGACCTCTGGAAACGGAGCACTTTTAGACCATCTTCCACTTCGAAGCTTTGATCCTGTGATACTATTAACTGGTTGACCTTCGTTGTGTGATGGGAAAGCTTAGCATGTGATCTAAGATTCTAGACTCTTCTTCCCTCATGAGAGGTTCTATCTATAGCTTTCATCATCACTATCATTGTTGTCATTGTTGTTATCATCCTCCTTGGAACCCTACACCAGGTCCAGGACAACCATCACACTCATCATTTTAAGGCGTTTACCCTGAGCTCGCAGTTTTATTTCTGTGCCTTGTTCATCATTGATTTAGGGAAAGGTGGGGTTTCTCACCTGTGTTTTGCTTCATTTGGGGAGAAAAGCTCCTACACTGCATCTTCTTCTCCTTGCTTACCATCTACTGATTCCATACCATCTTAAGCTCTCTGAAATCTCCTATCCTTTTGGCAAACTCCTACACATATTTCTAGTTGGCAATTCACGTTCTTTTGCTAAATACCATACATAAATCCCCCCCCCCCCTTTCTCTCTCTCTGGGGTACAAAGTTTGATGTATATGCATTTGACCTTGGTTTGCTTTCATGGTAGATAACCTGATAAAGCTAGTTGTCCCTCTCAATGGTGGGTCTGGAGGGCCGGCCTGCCTGCTGCTGGACCGCAGGAGGGCTACCTGCTTATCCTCTCTAGCACAACCAGCACGAATGGAAAGGCAGGAACGCCATGACGAAGGAGAAAGATCCAGGTAGGATCCACCTCTCCTCCCCGGCCTAAAGATTGGGGGCACCTGGCTTGTGGAGCCCACTCCCCAATCCCCTCGGAAGTTATTGTCTCGGAGCCTTCCGTTCCCAATGGGTCTCTCTTTATTCTCTTTATTCTCTTCCGTTCCCACTTGGGTGTGAAGCTGGCCACTGACAGCCGCGAGGATGATGTTTTCTGCACTCCAAAAAAGCCAAATAAAATAAAATAAAATAAACCCTCGAAAAAACCCTGATCATTGTTGAAGGTAGTCAACCACATCCATGGTCTAGACCTTGGCTCTCTCTCTCGCTCTCTCTCTCTCTCTCTCTCTCTCTCTGTGTTTATGTGGTTTTGGATCGAGCTCTGCAAGATCAGAGCCCATTCTGAGGGGGCTTCTTCCAAGCCTAAAGTGGTCTCTTGACTTTAGCTGGGCTCAGTGAAGTGTTAGCCCGGGTGGGTCCACTGAATTCGCCTTATGGTTGAATACGAGAGTCAACGGTTGGCCAGATAACGAAGACCTCCATCCATTAAGGTCTGATTTTTAAGAAGACGTTTTTCTCATATTTATGTGACCACAATTTGGTACCCATGTCATAGAATTTGTTTGGACTCATCGCCTGTCCAATAAGATAAGTTGCCCCGTCTTAGCAGCGTATTTGCAAATAAATTCCTAACGACAGTAAAAGACTAACTACATTTTTGGCAAGGGTGTAAGTGTAATAATCTTATCTGATAAGCCCCACCCCCCGTCGTTCTCTCTCTTCCAAAGATCGCGCGATCCTCGTTCACCCAACTCAGCCGAGTTTATCATACCACTAGCGATTCACAGCCGATTCGACTCGACTCGTCAAGAGTAGTTCGCCAGTGACGTCATGCGCCGACATGGATACACACGTCTCCCCCTCCACCACTTTTTCCGCCGCCCCCCTCCGCCACCAGTTTCTGCGCCTCCGGGTTTGTTGACCTGCTCTACGATGACACGGGTGAGCGGGCCTTGGGCTGCCACGTGGTTGATTCTAGTGATGGTAGAAACCAGACCACTTAAGACGGAGATCTGGCCCAGTCCTAGCTCAACTTTAAGCCCGGAGTCCCAAGCTTTGTCTGAACGGTTGACTTCAAGGGCCGGACCTAGAGGAACCGGGGCCAGGCTGGAGTCTTAGGCGTACTCACCCCGTTGACTTCAGTCAAAATGAGCATCGTGTGTACTATTAAGTCCTGTTATACCAACATGAGAGGGGAGAGAGAGAAAGGGGGCCCCGCAAGTTGGCCGTGCTGACCTCATGATCCACGTGTCGAGGAGGGGACTTTAATGGTTGATTTGACCCCGTCGTCTCGTGGTCCACGATCTGGGTACAGCTGAGATTACGTAGATTTTCATGAGACACGTGGCAAGACTGACTGGAGGAAATCGGCAAGGAACATAAATCATATAATTATTTACACACGTTCTTTCTGCGGGTCCCTCTCGGCCTCCGTCTCTACCTCTATATATCTCTCTCTCTCTCTCTCTCTCTCTCCATGGTGACGGAATATGAAAGGACTCCGGTGGGAACACAGACGATCTGGACAATTTTGAGGATGTGACAGAGGGAGGAGGAAGGCCGTCGAAGAAGAGGTATCCCCTCACCATCACGGAACGGATTCCCTCTCCAGCCAAGGTGAATAGATGTCCAACGCCGGAAGAATCTCGCAGGAACATGCCAAAGTAGGGCCATTAATGGCGTCTCCGGGGGGAAACACCGACTCCCGGAGATCTGGATTTAACGTCTGTACAGTGCTGCACTCCGGTCTCTGTCTCTGTCTGTCTCTGTCTGTCTGTCTCTCTCTACTGGAATTCCATTTCTACATTTTGCCTTTTTCCTCCGGAAGGATGACGACGACCACTCCGTCGGCTTCGTCATCATGCCGTTCTGGCCCCGGCGGAGCGGTCCCGGTCGGAAGCAATCGGTAGCAGCTCTACCGCCGGAGGGCTCTCGATTGCTCTCCTCTTCCTCCTCTCCCACACCGCTCCACTTTCTCTCTCTAGTTACAGTAACTCAGGGAGGGCTCGTCAGCTTTTGTAGGGGATAAACAAGTCCTGCTTTGTTTCCCACAAGAGCTTTCAGTGCCGGGTGACCGAGAGGTGGGGCGGGGCCCTCCCGGGAAAAGCAGAGCACCCTCAAGGCTCTCCACATCTTCACGCCCCCTCAGTTGACTGAAGCTCACCAGGTGGAGGAAACGTTTTGTTCTTTGGCAGGCCGCCTCTGAGGAAGCGGGTACTGTTTTAATGCAGGAACGGTACAAATATCTCGGAGAAGCTAGAGAGAGAGAGAGAGGAAAGGAGAAAAATTGTAGAGCAGAGAAGCCAGCGAGGAGAACCCACCAACTACTGCCGACTAACTCTACTTCGCCTCCCCTCCCTTCTCTCTCTCTCTCGCTAAAGAGGAATAATCTAATCCCCACCAGTCACCTCCACCTTTCGCCTCTCTTCCCTTCCTCCCCCATCCTTCCTCTCTCTAGATTCTTGATGGCAGTTCAACTCCCATCTTGGTTTCCGAATTGAGACGACGGCGCTCTACTCCGGCCAACCCGCGCTGTTCGTCCCGTTCCTTCGTCTCACTCTCCTCCAGCCTCCCTTCTTAGGAAGAGAGGGAGGGAGGGAGAGCCGTTCCCTTCCAGGCTTATCGTCGTCCTCCTGCTCCTCCAGTAGATAGATGGCCCCCGTGAGCATCCTCTGATCGCCCATCTCCGATGGATCCCGAGGGTGCCCACCAAGAAGGGCACCCCGCCAAGGTAACCAAGGTTTCCTCTGATCGTCCTCTTCCCCATCTCGGACTTCTCACTCTGAGGGTGGCGGTGCTTGCAGAGGCGGCGGCCATGGCGGGCGGTGCTGACGCTGGCCTACCAGAGCTTGGGGGTGGTGTACGGGGACCTGAGCACCTCCCCCCTGTACGTCTACAAGAGCACCTTCGCCGAGGACATTGAGCACTCGGAGACGAATGAGGAGATCTATGGGGTCCTCAGCTTCGTCTTCTGGACGCTCACTCTGGTTCCCCTGCTCAAGTACGTGTTCATCGTGCTCAAGGCGGATGACAATGGCGAGGGGGGCACCTTCGCCCTCTACTCCCTCCTCTGCCGCCACGCCCGCGTGGGCTTCCTCCCCAACGGGCAGCTCGCCGACGAGGAGCTCTCCGCCTACAAGCGGCGCGACGGCTCTGCTTGCCGGGAGGCGCCGCCGCATGGGCCGGCGGCGAGGATGAAGAGGACCCTCGAGAGCCACCGCGTCTTGCAGACCCTCCTCCTATTCCTGACCCTCGTCGGCACCTGCATGGTTATCGGCGACGGCGTCCTCACTCCGGCGATCTCAGGTCACCGTTCAGCCCCTGCAATTCGAGCCCGCTCTGCCGCCGCCATCTTTCTTTATTCTCACGTCCCTCGTTTCCCCTTCTCACGCAGTGTTCTCGGCGGTTTCCGGCCTCGAGCTCTCAATGACCAAGGAGCACCATAAATGTGAACCTCCTTCCTCCTCCTCCTCCTCCTCCTCCTCCTCTGGAATTGGTTAGGGCTAGCTAGCGAGCTGCAGGGCATCACCATGAATCTCATCTTGCTTCAATTCCGCAGATGTCGAGGTCCCCGTGGCCTGCGTGGTTCTAGTGTGCCTCTTCGCCCTCCAGCACTACGGCACTCATCGGGTCGGCTTCCTCTTCGCGCCAGTCGTCGTCGTATGGCTTCTCTGCATCAGCTCCATCGGCGTCTACAACATCTTTCACTGGAATCCGCACATCTACCGAGCCTTCTCCCCCTACTACATGTACAAGTTCCTGAAGAAAACCCAGAGGCGGGGCTGGATGTCCCTGGGCGGCATCCTCCTGTGCATAACCGGTAGGGGTTGTCGGCTGAAAAAGAAGCTAAATTTCTTTTTGTCTGAGTTCTTCTTGATTCTTTAGTCACTGAATTCATTTCACTTTTGGAGATGGCAGGTTCCGAGGCTATGTTCGCAGATCTTGGGCACTTTTCCCAGCTATCGATCCAGGTTTGTACCCTGCAAGATGATCTCTCATGGTTGGTTCATCAGTCTTGATCGCCAGGTTGATGATTAATAAAATTTGTGACCCATTTATGTCCGGCAAGTCTTCCTTTCTAGATATCCTTTTTTGACGTTTTTTTTGAATTTTTTATGTTTTTCTGATTACTTCGATGTCTGAATTCCCAATTCCTGATTGATGAGAGGGAATTATTTTCTTATCATGGTTATAATTTGTTGAAGCAGCAACATTCAAGGGGCAAGAAAATATGATAAAATCGGATGAGAAAATATCTGAGATTGGCAGCACCAGCGACAAATCAAGTTGATTATCCGGATATCACCAATCTGGCAAAACAATAAATAAAAAATCATGGATTTATTTTTTTAAAAATTTTGAGCGTATCTTTTTCGCATCTCTAGAACGTTTTGAAGAAGAAGCCTTTTAGACATGAATACTTTAGCACATTTTTACCAGTCTCCCCTGATTTAAAGAACATTATATCGTAATCAACAATCTTTGATGATGGACATATGCTTCTTAGTCCTATATAATTTGTAAGAAGAGCATGAATTTTTTGTTCCTCCCAACTGACGGGAAATTTCTCCTTTGCAGATCGCCTTTACCTCTGTTGTCTACCCATCCCTGCTCCTAGCTTACATGGGCCAGGCGGCGTATCTCTCCAAGCACCACGGCATCGAGAATGAGTACCACATTGGATTCTACGTTTCTGTTCCAGGTGCTTATTATTTTGGGCCAGTTCTTCCAAAACCCACCAACTGTTGCCAGGTTTTGTGTGCTTACTCTCTGATCTTCTGCCCTCAGAGAAGCTGAGGTGGCCAGTCCTGGCGATAGCCATACTTGCTGCGGTGGTGGGCAGCCAGGCCATCATCACCGGAACCTTCTCCATCATCAAGCAGTGCACCGCTCTGGGGTGCTTTCCCCGGGTGAAGATCGTCCACACATCGTCCAAGGTGCATGGGCAGATCTACATTCCGGAGATCAACTGGATCCTGATGATGTTATGCCTGGCTGTAACGATCGGCTTCAGGGACACAAAGAGAATGGGAAATGCCTCTGGTATAAAACGGCCTTTACTTCCATACATTCTGATGTAGACGCTGTTCTTGATCCTCATCAGTATGCTTCTTTTTTAAAAAAAAATCTTCAGGTCTGGCTGTGATCACGGTGATGTTGGTGACCACCTGCTTGATGTCCCTGGTGATAGTCCTGTGCTGGAACAGGAGCATCTTCCTGGCCTTGGGCTTTGTCATCTTCTTCGGCTTCATCGAGGCCCTCTACTTCTCTGCATCCCTGGTCAAGTTCCTGCAAGGTGCCTGGGTCCCCATCGTGCTGTCCTTCATCTTCATGGTGGTAATGGGTGTCTGGCACTACGGTACACTCAAGAAGTACGAGTTCGATGTCCAGAACAAGGTCTCCATCAACTGGCTGCTCGGCCTCGGCCCGAGCCTGGGCATCGTGCGGGTAAGGGGCATTGGCCTCATCCAGACAGAGCTGGTCTCAGGGATACCGGCGATCTTCTCCCACTTTGTAACCAATCTGCCCGCATTCCACGAGGTACCCACCCATGAAGAACTCTGCTCCTGAGACTAATCATTCATGGTTAAATTCACGACAAGATTTCCCAAACTTTTTATCTGGGTGGTCGCTCAAATTCTCTGTTTGACTTTCTTTGTATCTGAAATTTTCTTGAATTGGTGAACTTGATCCAGGTTCTCATCTTTCTCTGCATCAAGTCTGTCCCGGTGCCTCATGTCCGGGCTGACGAGAGGTTCCTCATTGGCCGTATCGGCCCGAAGGAGTACCGGCTTTACAGATGCATCGTTAGATATGGATACCGCGATGTGCACAAGGATGATGTGGAGTTTGAGATGGACCTGGTTTGCAGCATAGCCGAGTTCATCCGATCGGAGAAGCCTGAGGCGAATGGGGATGCCGATGAGTCGGAGAATGGGACTGAGAAAATGGCAGTTGTCAGCACAGGGATTCGGCTGTGCGAGGACTCACCCAATGCTGAGGGTTCTGCAGGCCCCTCGGAGAGAAGAGAGATCCGCTCCCCGATGATCATGCCCAGGAAAAAGGTGAGATTTTTACTCCCAGAGAGCCCCAAAATGGATGCGAGGTCCGCCCAGGAGCTACAAGAGCTGACTGAGGCCAGGGAATCCGGGATGGCCTTCATACTCGGGCACTCCTACGTGAGGGCAAAGAAGGGCTCTAGCCTGTTCAAGAAGCTGGCGATCGATGTGGGCTATGATTTCTTGAGGAGGAATTCTCGCGGCCCTTGCTACGCAATGAGCGTCCCCCACGCATCGACCCTCGAGGTGGGGATGATCTGCTATGTCTGAGTGCTTCCTTTGTTTTTTCCCCTTTTACTCTGTATCGGTTTTGTAGTGTGTAAATCGTAAAGGATGAGCTTGAAATGCTCTCATGTTGGTGGTGGTCAAGCAGAGAGCATGCTGTGGTACAGAGGGAGGAAAGCATGGAAAAAAAAAAAGAGGTTATTTTCCAAACACGTGTAGATAAAAGAACAGTTTTGGCTTTAAACCTGTCGTGTAGTACAAGTACAGTGGAGGAGAGTTGGGAATATGAGTCACACGCCAATGTGGCTGGCACTTTGGTTTTTCATGGAGTTGTCACCTTTAAAGTTCTTGAACCTCTTCGCTTCTAGTAGAAGGATTGGTGGAGTTATCATACGAATTAATCGCCATATTTTCTCAAGAACACTGACATCTGAGAACAAGTACCTTCATGAAATCTTGCTCGTGCTCTGAAACTCTCTTGAGCATGGTGGCTTGGTAGCAGAGATGTGATGGGCTTTAGATTTCGCTATTAGCCAAGGAAATTGTCAGCGTGTTGAGAAACCAACCTAATAATCTGTCTTGGTACGGCTGGGTTTCCATAAGAGCTAACTTTGACCTCAGAGAGGGTCTCAGTCAATAATGGCTTGGAACTTGTTTCTCTCCTCACTTGGTTTCCTCACAACGTGCTGGCTTTTGCGTCTATAATGGTTTATGATATTTGGTAATATATTCTAAATGATGATACTTTTATCCTGTTCATTGTTTTTTAACAATGGAGACATTGTATTCTTGACTATTACTGAAATCATGGAGAAAATAACGCTAAAAATATATAGCATTTTCCCTAGTGTTTCCAATATCAAAAAGGGGCTGATCAGCTGCGTTGACTAGCAGCAACATCACCCACTAAATGTGAGACCAGGGATGCAATGACTGCCCTAAAATATCAAGCTTCTAGTTTCCAAGGATCCATGACATTGTGTTTTGAAGAAGCATATTTCAAGAATTACACTTTCTACATATTAGAAGTATCCAATGGTTGTAAAGAAGTATCAGTAGAAGCATGGGCTCAGCGCACGTAGTCTTGATTCTAGATTCGTTAAGATAGACCAACGAAAAATCAACATAGTTTCTAGAAAGTTGACCAGATCCACGAATCTGGTGGTATAAAGGCAACCTGGTGACTTTGTTTGTGGAATGCACCAAAGGAACTGCTGTACAACCTGATCAAGGTGCCCATATAATAGTGGAATAAGAGAGAACTAAAACTATTATAAAAACCTTATAGTTCTTATCTTTGTTACGGATTGCTCAACCATACAAGTCCAGCGCAAAGAGTTGACTCAGTTAATCTACATATATCTAAATGATCATTTACTAGCAAGTTCATTGTCTTGGATTCATAGGTATTTAAACTGAATCTCCTTTTTAAAGCGTTGAATTCTTTGGATTTTTCTCCTGAAAAACTTATTTAATTCTCTTCTTGTTTGGTATTTAATCTCTTAGTCAGATCAATCTTAACTTCAAATCTACACAAAATAATATCTTTGTCTTTTCTTGGAGGTGTGCTTTTTTAACATACATTAGTGCCTTATTATTTGTAGAAAAATGTGGTTTTATTAATTCATTTTTTTAACATTATGTGTCATATAAAATCAGTATTACCTATTCCCATTTTGTGTTTTGATGGAATTCATTTGCAATAAAAAATGTAGCTAATAATATACATTTCAACTGCTAAAAATAAAATAATGAATTTATATATTAGGTTCTTAAAAGATAAAAAGTGCATTACTGTGCAAATAACACATATATCACCAATGCTTAATAAAAATGGCTTAAATGAGACCAAAACATAATTAACATATGTCTTGACTATATTTTGCACATAAAAAGTGCATGAAGTACTTAACTACTTGAACTATTAACAACATTAAATTATATTGACACATGTCTTGACTATATTTTGCATGAATCTTTCATGTCATTTTATGATGGCTAAGTTCAATACATCTTGTGCTAATTATCACCTAGTTTTACATGTTTACCTCGATTTGTCTTCTTCTTCGGCTTGTTTTAAAGTAATCTTGTTGTGGGGACTTTTAGTATGAAAGATATTGATGAATGATTCTTAATATGGTTATTAAAAGTGAGAGTCATAGCTATACATTTAACATAAATGATATCCAATGCACATTGTGTAAACTTTTAATCCTTTTCATCACCATAATTTATGTACAAGATATCTCATCTAGTGACCATTGAGTTCGATGTAGGGGGTGGGGGGTGGAGATATCTCATCTAGCCTACATTTTTTTGTTTGATTCTATTATTTTGTATGCATTTATATGTGTCAATATATGTTCTCACATAGTCTCCCAATTATATATGCAGATTCATCCAAGTTAGTTTTCTTTTCCTCGAGTGCTCACTTTGGTCTTTTTCTTTCACTTGTAATTATGAGGGACACATAAGTTTTTATATTGGTTCACTTTTCACTAGGCTACGTCTAGTCTTAGATGATTTTTATATTATATTTTATTATTTTATTTTAAAAGATAACTAATTTCACAAGATTGACAACCTACCTTTGTTTGATCTCTATAGATATCACACCCCTCATAGATAAGTCTTAACTCTCAACATCACATGTCTAAATTAATACATCAATCTTCTTAATTATCACACCCTTTATAGACACTTTCGACTCTCAACATTTCATGTTTTTCTTTAATCGTCTCTCCACTCATCACCTAAGTTACTTTAAGACATGATAGAGAATCAACTTTCAATGTAGTTTGTTGACATATATCACTATAGTCATGTGAGTAGGATGATGCTTTTGATTCTCTATTTGAAATGTATAATAACTTTGTTGTAGTATATAAAGTAAATTTTTTCTCTTAAGTTTGAGTGAATGACGTTGATGAATATATTCATTCATTGTTAGTCTTGGTTCATTGTCAGCTTGTTCAATTTATCCTCTAACATCTGTTTGACATTTCAACATCTTAAAACGATCACATGAGTTTAATTTCACCTTCTACTACTCTACATTTCCAAAATTTATGTTCTTATGTATGTTGTCTTTGATAGTTCATCTGAAGTTTCGAATTAATCACTATACATTTTCTTTTTCAAGGTCTAACTCAGAAATGGTCATTTAGCTTATCTTTAGTCTGCATATTCTATTGACATGTTATGATGCGGGACAAAGGGCCAGAATAGATCTCTTTAAAAAGAGTTACACATTAATCTTTAAATTTGATTAAAATTAAGATTTTAATAGCTTAATATTCAGATGATCTCACAATTTTAGTAGAAATAAGATCATTAATTATCTATTAGGTTATCTAATTCAAAGAATCAAATAAGGCTTCTTAACTAAGAATAGGACTATCAATCTTTCACATAAAGATGACTATCCTATGAATCTCACAAATCCTAAGAACAAAGATTTAAAAACAATGATCAACTTCACAAGAAATTTAAAAATCAACACACTTTTGCAATTGAGATTTTTGATATCTTGAAGATTCTTATTGGTTCAAGTTTCACGAGCTTTGTCAGTGATTTTTCAAGGTCCAAACTGAGTTGTTTGCACCAAGGAGTGGACTGGTGTGGTATGAAGTGAATGAGCTATTTGGGCAAGAGGTTAAAAATGAGGTCCAAGGTGAGGTGAAATAATAAAATAATAATGAAAAGAAAAGATGGAGAGAGAAAAGGGGGCGGAACGAGAGGGCGTCAGCGAGCGAGCGAGAGAGAGAGAGAGCGAAAAAGAGAGAATGAGGGGTACGTGGCAACGGCGAGAGAGAGAGGAAAGAGGGTTTCGGCGGGAGAGAGAGAAAGGGGGATCAGTAGGAGAGAGAGAGAGAATGAGAAAGAAGATGAGGGGGTACGTGGCGACGACGGGAGAGAGAAGAAAGAGGGTTTCCGACGGCGAGGAGATGAAGTGGTGGCGACAAGGTGGACGGCAAGGAGCCGGAGTGGCGGCAACGAGCAGATGGCGAGGAGGCGGGATGATGGCGACAAGGTGGCTGGCGAGAAGGGGAGTTGCGGCAACAAGGTGGACGGCAAGGAGGGGGGATGATGGCGACAAGGTGGCTGGCGAGAAGGGGAGTGGTGGCGACGGGGCGGACGAGGAGGAAGAGGAACGGTGGCGTTGGGGTGAATGGCGAGGACGACGTGAAGAGGAAGAGATGGAGGTCTCCCTAATCCAAGAGGGTGAGAAGAAGAGAGGAAGCCTCTAGTCCAAGAGGCGATGACAGGAGGAGAGGAACCCCTGGTCCAAGGGACGAATGAGAGAGGAGGAACCCCTAGTCCAAGAGGTGAGGGATAACACGAATCTTCTTGATTCTAAATTCAATTTCAACTTCTCTTTCAGTATTCTGAAGTTTGAGTATTTATAGGAAACAGAGAACAATAGTTAGAGGCGTCCCGTTCCAAAGTATGTCAAGCGGTGTCTCTTGGAGGGAGAAACGCCTTAGGAGAGAAGGGGTGCATGGGTGACGTGGCCTCTTCTCCTCCCTCCTCTTCCTCCTCCTGGGTCCACCTAAAGGAATGAGCCCTCATATTAATTCCATCATGTTACCATCTAAAATTTATGTTCTTGACCTTCGGCCTTCCCTTCAACCTAAAATTTACATTGCACCATTTCACCACCATATGCCATTGCCAACTATTGTCTCTCATGACCTTATGTGATTCAGCCCCTAGGGTTATTAATTTGGCAATTGCATGTCTCGCACATAAGGCCTTCTGCCTTATTTGATATATGAGACAAGACCTAGGATGATGTCAGTGCTCGACAAATAAGAATCAGATGAAAAAGTTCTACCAAATGATTCTTACGTAGTCAATTACATATGATTTACTTGGTCAAATTAAAATATGTAAAAGTCAGAAAAATTATAATTGAATGAAAAATAATTTTAAAAAATTTAATCACATAAATTATTAATAAATAAAGTAAAAATTAAATTAAAAGTAAGAAAGACAAAGTTTTGACCTCACAATAATGATTGCTAAAATTTTGTATGTTCAAGAGGATCATCGAACAAAGTCCATGACTTCAAAGGCTCTTTCTTTAGACATGGACAACTTAGACATTTGTTAGATCTCTTTTCAAAGTCTAAGAAATGATAGTGTAAGTTAAAACTAATTAAAAAATAGTAAAATAGAGTTCCAATATCGTGTTAATAATGTGTCAGAATCTTAAACATTCGAGAGGATTGTCGTGTAGTATCTATTATCTTGAAGGCTTTTCTTAGACAAAGATAACGTGGATAATCTCTAGATCTTCTTGCGAAGTTTAGAGATCAATGAAATGAATTGTCGAATCATTTCTAACGACTGTCAATCAGTGGAGTGAAAAAATAATGACTTTACGACTCTATAGGGACTGTCACCTGACAGAGAAGAGTTGGATGTAAGTAGAGCACGTGTTAAAAAACTTCATCCTCAAATTCATGCAACAAGATGAGGCTCTTCATCGTATTTGATTCACTCTCAAGAAGTGACAACTTATCTCTCAATGGATCGTCATCTTTCTAATGATGGCTTATTCATTAATCAATTAGAGATCATTTACTTGATAGGTTTGTGATCTTTTTATCATAAATTATTTAGTAATTTTATTGATGATACTTTGCAAATTATATTGATGAGATTTTTGTCGATAATTGAGCGATTCTGACGGCTTAATCTTTCACTAGAAATCTCTAAATAAATCACGATTTAATAAGATAAAATGTGAGTTTTGACTCTAGTAGGATTCAAACCCACGTCAATCACTTGCCTACATAAAAGAGAGTGAAATAAGTATGTGAATACCTTTATAAAGTGACATCATTAAGGTACCTTATTTTGATAAATAAGGGGTAATTGAGATATAAAAAATCACAAAATCATTCTAGAGAAGGTGTGACTAAAGTTTAGTTCCACATTAGTTATATACCAAATTTTAGGGTGAATATATAATAACACGAGATTTAAGATCAATGAGTGTTTTTCTCATGTGTGTGCGATCACTCTTTTCCCCATGCCTAGTTGGCCGCTGATGACGTGAAAGGGGAGTGACACACACATGCCCTCATTGGTCTATAACTGCTCGAGCCTTCACTCGTGGCTTTACCTCGATTGTGCTTCCAACCCCCTTACAGGCCTGACTAGCCAATAGGTTTCCCCCTTTTTTATCTTTTTATTTTATTTTATTTTATTTTATTATCTAAAAAATATGACTAAAAAAATCATATAAATTCATATAAAATTATGTAATTAGCTAAAAATTCACATTAATCAATTAAAAATTACTTTTCATAATTTAATATAAATATAAGTCTATTTATTATGAGTTAAGGCTAACACTATATTAGTCAAAAACTCATGATAATGAAGACTGATTAGTCTCCCTCCCAAATTGAATGTAACCTTATGGGCCTAGGTCACACCACAATGTCTAAACTCAAATGAGTTGGGCCTATGTGTGATCTTAGGCTCTACTAGCTGAAGTCCACGTGAGGATGTCACCCTAGGTCTCAACAAAGATTATGAGCTAAGAATGGGTCACGTTGGTCTACCTCCTCGCCTTCATCAACCAAATGGGGGACCTTTGTGGAGTCATGGCCCCATAGATGACCGTTGCAAAGAGGTTTCTAATCCTCCTTATAACTTTCCTTGGGAGGGTGATGTTGCTGATCTTGATGAATTATCTCATGAGGTTGATTGGGAGGAATTGAATAGTGATGGGGGCGCATCATGGGATAGACATTGAAGTGAACCACAAGATCAACAAAGAGTAATTTGCCTCAAGCATAAGGGCAAACTTTCTATCTTTTCAAGTGAAAATCTAGAAGGTTGGTTGCTCTATACAAAGTAATTTTTTAGGCTCAATTTAGCAAGTGACAGAAAGTGTCTCTACACAATTATGATGTATTTTGATGGGAAGGTTCTTACGTGATTCAATCACTAGGATTATTAAGTCAAGTTCCACAACTAGCATGATTTCAAGTGTCAATACGTAGAGTGGTTTTGCTACCACTAGTGAAGTACTTCTCAATGACTATTTTTCTTTCAACAATTTGGTTGTGGAGGAACTCAAGTGTCACTGTCCAAGTTTCTTTCATATATGACTCCCCAAGTGCAAGCCAATGCTTTTTTAGTTACACTGTAAGATGACATTCAAAATATAGTGCATCACAAGAAACCCAATCATTTTGTAAAAATGTAGTAATTTACCTTTGAAATCAAAGCTCAATTGTAGATAGTTTTCCGATGTGTTCACAAAGAGATTGGGGGCACAATATAGTCAAATTATGCACAACAAGAGCTAGTTCTGACGACTGGGGAAAAAGAGTAACACTACTATCATGTAGCAAGGGTGGTAAGACCTAGGGAGTAATTTGCTGAAGGAGAATGGTAGAAGACTATTGAGACTTATGGTAGAAGAAATTCAACACTACACATCTTAGGGTTTCTATTTTTATTACAATGAAAAATTTATAATTGGGAAGAGAACAAGCTTTCAGAAGAGGGGGATGAGGCACCAATGTTGGAAGAGGAGGAGCTAGTAGTGACATGGTCATTGGTCATGGTTAGGGTTTCCCTACATGGTGCATTAAGCGTCATAACAAATGACACCATTCGTATATTACAAAGCATCTAAAATTATGCAATCACCATGCTAGTGGATAGAGCGGCACATCCAAAGATTAGTCTAATGCTTTGGAGTCCCCATGTCTAGAAGCCCTCCCTACACCATTATGTTTGGCAATGGCTAGGTAACTCACATGTGTGATGTTTGTAGTAACATATCTTTGTCCATATAGGATTATACCATTGTCTAAGATTTCCTTCTTCTAAGCCACATTGGGGTCAATGTTATCCTAGGTGTGCAATGGCTTTGAACCATGGGATGGGTCGACACCAATTATGAGCTTTTGATGTTATGATTTCAAGTAGGCCTACCTAAGAGTCAAGGCCAACAATCAGGCCAGAAGTCGTGGGAGAGGTATCTACTTTTAGGTTTCATTATTTGTCTCATTTATTTGAACCGACACTAGAGACAAAACCATATGAAGAGGCTATATTGATGTTAAAGCTAGATTTTTGTGTTTTAATTAGTCATATTATTTTATTTTATTTTGTTAACTTTCAAAATAAATATAAGAATATATTATTAATTTTAAAAGTTTTAAGTTAAAATACTTATCATAATTTTTGATTACTTAAAAATAAAATATAAAAATATAAAAATATTACTACCCCCTAGCAAGTCAGCACTTGGCAATTGACCAAAAGGGGCACTACAATTGAGTGGGTGACTTAGATTGAGGGAGCCACGAGCTAGACTCTAGTGGCGAGAGACTCACTTTGCACATGTGTGCATCACTCGTCTGTCATGTCCTCATTGCCAACTAGTTGTGGAGCAAGGAGGGTCATATGCACGTGCACACGTGAAGGCGGACCACCTTTTTACCTTCTCCCAAGATGGTCATAGGCATTGTTTTATTTTGGGAGAAGGGATATCTATTGGTAGATTGTAGCTTTGATTTATATTTAACTTATTCGTCGAAGTATTTTCTATGTGGGACTAAAGTTTCTCATCAGTTTTAAGTCAGCCCTCTGGAGAGTGGTTGACGTGACTCAGTCGTTGTATATTAAATCACACAAATATAAAATTTATAAAACTAGAAAATACGAATTTTCAGATATTTAAAAGTATTTCTAAATAAATATATCAATTATAATTTAATTAAAATTTCAAAAATAGCAGTAATTTTCCAAGTCGATCACAAGGATGTAATATAATATCTGGTAATTATTCAAAATTTTTCTCAATGAATACAATTTTCTTATGAATTTTATACTAAGAAATAAAAAGGAAATATATTTAAAATTCACGAAAAAAAGGAAATAAGGGTGCGGACGTCAGGATGACATCAGCGCCCAGCGAACGTGAATCAGGCGAAAATAGAGTTCCACTTGGCGATTCTTACGTAAGCGATTACGGATGACTTAATTAATCAAATTAAGATCTGTAAAAGCCGAAAGAATCGTAATTGAATGAAGTATAGTTTGGTAAATTAAAATCACACAAAGTATCACTAAATGAAGTGTAAATTAAATTAAAAGCAGGAAAACAGAGTTCCGGCGTCGCGACGGCGATGCGTCGGCGATGCACTGGAATCTTGAGCATTCGGGAGGATCGTCGTGCAGTGTCCATGGCCTTGAAGGCTCTCCTTAGACAAAGACGACGTGGGCAATCTCTAGATCTTCTCGCAAAGTCTAGAGATCAATGAAGTGGGTCGTCGAATCGTCTCTGGCGGCTGTCACCCAGCGGAGCGGAAAAACGACGACTTTACGGCTCTCCGGCGGCTGTCACCCGACAGAGAGGAGCTGGATGGAAGTGGGGTGCGTGTCAGGGAGCTTCATCCTCAGGTCCGCGCAGCAAGAGGAGGCTCTTCATCGCATCTGGTACGCTCTCAAGAGGTGGCGACTGGTCTCCCGGCGGATCGTCTTCTTCTCGATGACGGCTTGTTCGTCAATCAATCGGAGATGATTTACTCGATGGATTCGTGATCCTTTTATCGCGAATCGTTCAGCAATTTTAGTAGCAATGCTCCGCAAATCGTGTTGACGAGATTTTCGCCGATGATCCAACGATTCTCGTTGCTTAATCCTTCACCGGCGATCTGCAGGAAAGTCGCAATAATCAGATAAAAATATATAAATTTTGACTCTAGGAGGATTCGAACCCGCGCCAATCGCCCGCCTCTTTTGAGGAAGGTGTGATGGGGGTTCAGTCCCACATCAGTTGTACGCCGATTTTTCAGGCGAATATATAGTAATGCTGGCTTTATCAGCAAAGTACCTTCTCTCACGTGTACGACTACTCCTTGCCCCATAGCCGGCTGGCCACCGGTGATGTGAAAGGGTTATGGTGTACGTGTGCCCTGTCGGTCCCCAAGCCAAGCCGCTCTAGCCCCTACTCGTGGCTTGCCCCCCAACTGCACTTCTGACTCGCTTGCGGGCCCGGCTGGCTGGTGGGTCCCTCATTTTTGCAATATTTTTATTTTTATTTCTTATTCTTCATTTATCTCAAAAGTAAGATTGTGA